CGCAGATCGGTCTCTTGGAAACAGTCTGAGAAACTGCCCAACACCAACCCTAGGTGTCCTTTTGGAGCGATCGACACTGGGGAAGGAGTAAAAATAGACTGACACCAGCGCCGCCAATTTTCCAACTAAACTCAAACTGGCCAAGGACGATGCCCAAGATGCCTAAGATATGTTGCACAAGACTTTTGGCAAGTGGCCTTTCACAAATCAAGAATAATTGAGAAAAACAAACAAAACATGAACAAACCCCGAGAAAGAGCTTGCCAACAAAGGTGAAGCATCATGGGCAGCTGCCCCTGGTCCACGGCGTCATGCACCATGGTCCATCCCTTGGAGTTGACTCCTTTCGACTTCAGCAGCAGCTCCATGGTGCTGCGGTGCCCATTAGAAATGGTTTCTTCTCTAAGAGCTCTGAACTGCTTCTTCGACAAGGACCTGGGGCTCCAAATCAAGAGGGACCCTGTGGCCTTTGGCGTCTTTGGCAGAAAGGGTCTACCTGTTTGGGTAAGACCTTCAACTAGGGACATGTCCCCATCGAAGGCAGGGACCACAAAAAAAAGAAAGAAGTGGTGGGTGCCCCCTTAAACCAACCTGAAAAGGGCACACCCAAAAAACAAATCTGAGCAGCGCACAACACCCATTGACCCATTGACAAATCATTTGACAACCCCTCCCCACCTCAGGTCCGACGGGATCACGTTCGTCCCTATGGACTGGCCTTGGCCTCCGATGGCCAGCGTCCAGTTCTCCTGTTGGAACGTGGAGTGCCACCAGCCTTTGGGCAAAAACACCACCTGGCTTGGGCGATCGTGACGGTACACCTCCTGTTTTTGAGGGCACCAATTTGTTTTCAAGGGACACCAAAAGGAAAGCTGCCACATGCCCAAACATGTCTAACTCTTATCCTCTTTTTGGCTCCCATTAGGAGTTCAGGGTCTGGCTGTGTCAACAAACTGTACAACCTGCCTCCCCGGGATTTTGAGTGCAGCGCTTCAGTCCAGCTGCCAACAAGTCATGCTCACTGGCGTGCCGATATGCTGGGATTTCCAATGGCTGCGGCGGTGCCACGTACCAAGTTTTGCGGCCCGCCAAGACCAATACCCAGGTCCGGACGTGCTGGTGCAGCGCAATGCCCTTGGACACCTTGCCCGCACTGACGAAGACTCTCTGCGATGAGTTCTGCAAGAGCCGCGGAATCCCATAGACCTGTGTATTGAAGAGGGGGCCTTGCACAAAATAGCCATCCCCTTTTAGTTTTCTGGCAATGGCTAATAGTTGTTGATGGTCTATGGTTTCCTGGGGGAAAACAACAATGGTTGCTATTGGTCGCGCCCAAGACCGACTCGATCCGCTGCCGCAAGTTCTGGTCCGCGAACTGGAACACGAAAGGAACGGACGCTTCTAACGCCAGCTCTTCGGCCCACGCGCCAAAGGTCGTGGCCTCTGCCTCCGCCTTCTGGCCCGTTTGCGACTGGTACTCCAGCCTGGGTGAGTGATTTTTGTGTTTTGAGGGTACCCGTTTTGGATGCTTTGAGGAGAAATCAATCGGAGAAACACCACTCCCCCCCCCTTTCCCTGATTTTGACACATTCCCAGCCTCCTCGTCAGCGTCACACGTTCCTCACGGAACGCCTCTGCAAATTCGGACCGGGAAGCGGAAGTCAAATCACCCAATGCGCCCTGAATTAGCAGCGGCTCTGCGGTCTTGTCGAAGCCCTCTGGAAGAGAATCCTTAGGACATTCAGTACACGCCAGCATCTGGGTCAACCCACATGAATCATAGACAGTGCACTACAACAACACATGCTCGTTCCAATATAATATTTTCCGAAAGGCAGCTTGCACAATGCGGAAGCTGCATTGTGGCTCAAATGGTTGTCTTGCAAGTACACCAGCCGCAGTCAGCAAAACGAGCGAAGCGCTCGCAATGCCACTCGGGGAAACCATGGCAGTGGAACGCGAAGGGCTCAAGGTCCAACATCCATGAATACAAATCTCTGGATCTGATCGTGACATCGTTCTGATTTACATGAAACCTAGGGGAGCGGCCCTGTATCCTTCAAAACCTCAAGCCTCCTGTTGAGCTGTGAGGGCCGCATTCGCGGACTCCATCTGAGGCGCGAACCCATGAAGCTGACTGATCCACTGGCCATGTCGATTCTGAGCACGCGCTTGGCCTCGCGGCTCGCGCCCGCAACTTGCCTCTTTGGCGAAATCGTTCCGTGTTCGGCGGATGTTAAAAAGGACATTGAAGAGAAAACCTGGCAATTGGGACGTGTCGCAAAATGCGCAACTGATGTTGCAACGTAGCACAAGAGGAAACCGAAGATTCGCAAACCCGCAATTGGAAACAATTCAATTTCGAAACCAGTCACATCACCCGCTCAGGCACGTACGTTGAACGGTGGACAGTAAATGGCCTTGGCCAAAGCGCTAACATCATAGGTGGCCTTTTTGTAAGAGAAAAGGGAAATGGATGGCACTGGTGTAGTGTGGCCTCATGAACCGCGTAAGGCAACGACGAACAGGTAAACAAGCCAGCTCCGCACGCACGCATGCGCAGACACAGAGACACACACACGCACAAACACACGCATGAAGCAACACCATGAACCAGATCTGGTATGACTCTCGCCACGTGCTCACACAAGACTGCTAGACGTGGCTGGTTGGGACATCCAGTTGAAGCCGTGTCAATCTGGGATATGTTACTGTTTCATCGCCCGTGAGCCTATGTTTCGAGATTGCTTCTCAACCCAAGACTTTGGTTATTATGCATCTCAGCATCTGGCAGCCGGTGCGCTTCTTGCGGGCTCTGCGGGGCTCCTTTTGCCTCAGCCTTCCTTTTGCTCGGTGGCGTTACCTGACAGCTTTTGAGCTGCTTGGCCCGTACACTCTGTATTTTTCTTGGAGGTCAGGCTGATTCACACATGTGTTTGGTTTCGGCGTTGGCCTGGGAAGCTTCAATTGCAGCGCTGCCCGCTTCCAGCACACGCAGCGCGACCCCGACAATGAAAGAGAGCCCTGTTATCAGCCATGTCCTTCCACTGAGCGTGGTCAGTCGCAACCAGAGCAAGCGGCTTAAACTGGCCCAGGCGCGGGTTTGAGCTGAGGCAAGCCACGGCAAGCCAACCATTGGCAGGGCCGTCCAGCGGCTGTGCACCCCCCAACTGCTTTACGCGGAACACATGCAAATCCAACCTCTTAACACAATGACCACGAACACTGCTACAAGCGAACCGCAACAATTTGTTGTGGTTCTTTTATGGCCATGGACATCGCAAGAGAGTAAAGCGAATACCTTGGTCGAGGCATACAGCGAACTGCGAAGGCAGTCGAACTACATCTGGCCGCAGGTTGTTGCAGCTGAGGCAAGCACGGGCCCGGCCAGCTTGGAGGAAACCACTGGCCGCAGCAAGGGGTGCTCGAATCGACATGCGCAGCGCCCCGCACAAAAGCGAACCGCAACAATTTGTTGTGGCTCTGCTAGCGTTATGGGCCGCGCAATGAGGCAAAGCGGGCAAGAACTGCTGCGGTTCGAAAATCTCTGGCTTGCAAGTTCTCCCTGCGCACCCCGTTTCATGGCGCAGCAACCGCAAGTAGGCAACCTGCAATGTTTTGCCAGCCAGTGTAGATGCCGGGCCGGGACGGGACCCAGATGACCTGGTACGGGACGCAGATCCGGGACCCGGATCCGGGACCCGGATCCGGGACCCGGCCCGGGACGGGACCCAGATCCGGGACATGGATTGGGGACCCGGATTTGGGACCACCCGACTTGGAATGAACCCGGACAGGAAAAGCAGCGGAGGCAGCTACAGCGGGCAATTGTGACCTCTACAAACCCTTATACTACTGTACCATGCTTCCATTAAACTCAAGGCAGCCTTCAAAAAGCAGTGCCCTGTATTAGTATGAAAGCGCAGACTAAAAAGGACATCTATGGCTAACATGGAATACCCTATTTGGTTGGTGACAAAAATACTGCAACCTGAACTTGTCTGCAAAACCTCCATTGCAAGCGAGCTCGTTTTGTCCCAGGTGAGCTCGCAAGAAATTGGGCAAATCTGTTCACTCTTGCGCCAGTCCGGTTGTGCCGAGTTGCCCCGTCCGTGGCGACAATTGCTGCTCGGTATTTGTCCGGCGCCCAGCCCAAGTCGGGGCCTGCAAGCAAAGCACGCTTGCCTCCACCGCAAATTCTAAAGGACAAAAGGGAACGTGCCAAACTAGGGGCCGTTGAAAAATACTATCTTCCACACGACGCCTTCAAGGAAACCAACATTTGAAGGGTTGCTCGTTTTGACGTTGATCTCTGAGTCTTGCGCCAATGAGCTCTACTGCCCCGTTTCGAGTGTCGATGCGCAGCACGCGATTGAAACACCTCATGGTCACACGGGCAACCAGGAGGTGTTAAAATAGGCTTTCCCTTTGGATTACCTTCAAACCAAGCCCCAAAAACCCGTACCCTCGAAAAAGGACACCTGCATATGGAAGTGGCACGCTCCGAAATCGCATGTTTTGGAACGGGTGCTATTTACCAATCCCCTGTTGGTGGGAGCCAAAGGGACACAGACCACATGTCGTGCTTTGCTTCCCCTTTTTTGAGAAACATATCTGGCCCTATTTGTGGACGATTGCCGCCAGCGCTGAGCCGCAGACCACGGTTGGCAGTACAAACAACCATCCGGCGCCAAGACACCGTCCATCCATTTGCCTTGCATTCAAGGCTTGCTAAGCAATTGTTTGTGTGCGTGTGGCCTTCACAACAAGCCAGCCGCACCCCAATTCTCATCGTCCAACTCTCCATCTCCCAGCCCAATGCTGTCGCCTTCCTGCATCCAGTGGACAGGCCAACAGCCAGGAATTAGTCGCTGTCCTTTCCCATCTCATCCGCCGGAAACTTCGGCCCGATGAGTGCTGTGGTGCCATCCTCATGTCCAAAGCAGCGCGTGCCACATGGGTGTGGCGTACCAAATATATAGTGGATCCCGAGCATGGTTGGGGCTTGCTTTGGTTATCCTTTAAACCAACCTTTCAGAGGGTACCCTCAAAAAGATACACCCACACACACACACACACACACACCATTGAGACCTATGGCAGTGCCTTGAATTACCTCGTTGTTCAAAGGAAAATATCGCAAATCTTGGAGGCAGTACACAGCATCGCATGGCTCTGCGCTTGCGCTCAGCACGAGTCTCTCTGATTTCAAGACCAGGCAATCTACCTGCTGTTGCCAGGTGCTAGGCGGAAAGAGTCTCGGCTCACCAAGGCGTTTCTCAGAATAGTCTCCCCAAAATGGGGCGTGTCCTTTGGCCTTCAAAAAAAACATAAAAAAAAAAAAAAAAAAAAAAAAAAAAAACACAAGGGGTGTCCCAAAAAAAGACAAGCCTGCAAGAGTGTCCAGCTGGAAGACACGGTTTGCATGACGCAGTCTTAGCTCCGAGCAATTGGATCTATTTGAAGCACGTGTGATGCAAACCTGTCATGGGACAGTCTGAACTGTCTGGAATTGATCTTTGTTAAGTTAACTTGGCGAGTTTCAAGTCTCCTTCATCTTGGGAGTGGCCCTCATCCTGCAGTGCGCTCTGGGTAGGACCATCCCGAATAGTCCTAATGCATTTTTAGGCGGTTCGAACACAAACAGCTGCCAAAATCCAGGTGAAAGCGGGCAAGTCTCATCCAGATCAAATCATGCCAGCATGACCATGGAGGACAGTAAATGTTGCCGTCTACACCGAGAACACCAGACCTTTCCGCCATGATGTTCAACGTCATTGAGTGTTGCCAACCAGGGTTGCCCGAAGGTAGACTTCAACCCAGGGGTGGATGATTCTCGCAAAAGGGAAAGCCCTGGGCTTCTGTTTGCCTTTGGGTATCCAAAATACAACCCCGGCACGAAGACTTTCCGCCATCTGTGCCGACCTCCACTTGCCTTTGCTGGGCCCGAGATCTTCACCTGACCAGTAGAGTTTAGGTCTCATGGTCCCTGAAGAGCCCGTCGTTGTGTAAACGCCCTACAGGGTCCATGACCATCCCCAACGCGCAACGCGCCTATGAGATCCACTTGTATCTGGGCGGAATCTCGTGGATCGATGAGCAGCACGTGGCTCGCATTCCAGGGCGGACAAACCACGACACCGCTGGAAGATGGGATCGCCTGCGGCATGCAACGCGGCTTTTGGCGTCGCATTGATCAAAAAGGGGGCTGCAAGGGTGATGGCACAATTCCTAGTATGTCGGTAAGTATAGGGGCTGACTAGACCAACACGCGGGATTTGTGCCATCGAGATACAATTTCAGCTTGCCATTCTGATCCCTAACCCTAGTCAACCGAGTATGAGGCCGCTCGCCATTTTCCAGGGCCATAATCTGACAGCTCAGGACCTCCGGGGCAAACGCAAAAGAAGGCAAGGCATCCTGTTGCTTGCGACCAACAGGCCACCTACTAACTGCGCATACCACATCTTGTTCTCATTGTAGCTCCTTGGTCACAGAGATGGTTGTCAGACCAAAAGCCCAAAAGCCTACAGTAAGCTTCTGACTCTGGCTCTTCGGGCTCGAACATGGCTGTGAAAGAAATTACCGATATGTGAAAAGCAAAAGAGATCCAGTACCCCCAGGGCTGGAAAGCGGTGAGTCTATCGCAGCCCGTTCCGTCTAGTTGCTGCCAACATCTTGCACAAAATGGTTAGCAACCTACAGTCAGGAGGGCACATCAGTTCACGCTTATTCCTGTACAGTTGCCAAAAGCCAGAAGGAAATCAACCATGCTGCGAAAATTGCAACACTTTAGCGGGATTAACGCACATCTATTTGTCGTTGTGACCCTGACTCGAGCAATGCTACCCAGTGAATGGCGTGGTTCCTGCATCACCTTTCTATCCAGCAATAAGTGGCCCTCGGATAATGCGTTGGAAGCATGATGCTAAAACTGTTTGCAGTAATCTGCTGCGACTCGCGCCCAATGTCTGGCCAGTAAAGCTTGAGCCAGGGAACCTGCAATTGTGAAGAGCATTGACCTTGGGCGCTTTGATACTTGTAGCCTCATTTGGGCCATGTTGCGCAACATGCACTTTTGAGCTCACACAGGCAGCGGAATATCAGGCAAACCTGCAGACGCAAACTTGTCACGCCACATGTCTTGCTTGGCACTGCCACAAGCGGTGTGCATCTCAAGAGAAGACGCATTGACAGCTGCAACTTTTGATCGTAGAAGCTGAGGCCAATCGATCTGTGCCTGTACAACCTTTTGAAGGTTGGTGGTGTAATGCAAATTCGGAAAGAGGAACAGTTTGCAACTGATGCCACATAACAGGTATTTCAGGACCTGTGACATTCTCTTGCTTTAGCGAAACCACCGCGTGGGTGACACAGGAGAACCTTGAGACGTCAAGCCGGCGCTGAGCCTCATGGCCGCCAGCAAATGCCCCGCTGCCCGGGACTCGAATTGCGCAGTGGGCTACAGTCGCGCCTTGGGCTCTCGCGCCTGGGGCTGCGATTGCCGGGACTCGACTCGCGCCTGGGACTGCGGTTTTCCTTTCTTTCCGGGCTCACTTCACGTGGAAAGCGCTTTCCATCGGTCCTGACAAATTCACTTGCCAGGCCTGGACCTGTCTTGAAGATACGCCTGCTTTGAGCGGGCGGATTTCGAGATGCTTGCTTGAGACTGGATGGTTTCTTCTCTTCACCTCGAGTCTTTTCACAGCTCCAACATTTTGCTCTGCGCATATTTTCGCTGCAAAAGCTACCTCAAGGCACCCGCCTTTGCCCGGCAGCATTTCGGGTCTCGCAGGTAGACTTTTACCTTTCAAGACAGGCTTCTCATCCTGGCAGGCTTGAATCGCTTCAGACATGTGCTGTGCATTTGTCATCATATACACCCGTGCATGTGTGCATGTGTGTGTGCGCGTGCTGTGACCCCAAAGCCAGTCCTCTGGAGAGTTGGAACTCCTGTCAAGTGCCCGATTCTCATGTCAAACTCAACGCACGAATTATCTTCATGGCGACCCTGTTCTTGCAGGGTGGTGTCTTCTCTGATCAATACACTGCGGTTCCATTCATACCCGAAAACTGCCCAGCAAAACTCTGCAGGTGCCAAACAGTCCAACAATCACTCCGAATCTGCCAAATGCGTCAAACGTGCCGTCAAATATTGACCCGTGCTGCCATGCCAAACGCTGCCATGCAGAAAACTCCTGAGGTGGATAAATTGGGCGAAGGACTTATTTTCCTAGGTGGGGCGTGTTATTTTCCTAGCTATATCCGATAAATGGTCCTGCAACAAAAACCTCAAACAATTGCTCCGCATCCGCAATTACAAGCATCAAGCATGGCCTTAAAGTCTAACCGCTCTCAGCCACTAGTTGCAAACGCAAACAAGTATCGCGTACAAGCTCAAAAATACTGACACTGGTCGCTGTGCAAGAGGGAGTAGTCGCTGCAGCCGGTTACTACTTGGGAGCGTGCTGTCACTGAACGGGGATGCCGAGTGGCAGGTTGGATCGCTGATTCCTAAATCTTGGGCCACCTTTGCACCCCTCTTGCATCCTGAGCAGAACATGTAGCACTGCGTTTGATGTCTTTGCCCGCTGTGAAATCAGGCCAAAAGGGGTCCTTAATTTGGAGAATACGTGTGACGTGGCAGTCCTTCGGACCTTCGCGGGCATTGCTTTGGCCCGTGGCCCCAAACCTCACTCGCAAACCCAGCAAACTCACGGATTCGAGTTACTCGAAGCGCACAAAAACATGGGTGTTTCTGAAAATGGGGGGTCCCTTAAACTGTGTTGTTTCGTTTTGGTGTCCCTTTAAAATCCTAACTAAAGGGTGTCCACTCTTTTGAGAAACTCCCACGCGGAGGCTGGGAGACTTGTCCTGGCAGGCGGGACGCAGGAGACGACAAATCTTTGCATATCTTTGCATCAAGTGCTGTGCTGAGCACGAAACTTTGACATGGTGAGACTGAACCTAAGCGGCCCAGGCAGCAAAGGCTCCGAGATTCGGTGAAGCATCAATCCGCTGACAATCAAAATATGGAGCAATGGAATCAGAACAAGGCGGATATCCACATCTACTGTTGGGACTCTCTCTAACCTTCATTTACTCGAGTTTTGATTGTAGCTCAACTCAAGGCAATTGAGCAGCGCCCAAAACCCATTGGCTCAAAACCCATTGACTGTTGGCTCTAGATTGTCATGGCCTCACCAACTAAACCTGGTCATTGGGAATCCGTTTTGGACGGCGAGCTGCTGGAAAGACCAAAGGTCTCCACTCCTCCGTTGGCCTAGTGCGCCCGACGGACGGGTCAAATCTGTGCGGAATCGGCCGAGCATGTCTGGCTCAGAAATGAGGAATTATTGAAGAATACAAAAATCAAATGAGAGGATGAAAGGGTGGAAGGATGAAAGAACGAAAGCATGACACAATGAAGAATCAGTTGATCGATCCATACGTTGCGACTCCTCAAGCCAGTGACCAAAAAGCTTAGCAGCAGGCACCTTTCTGCCTACGGCAGAAAATCTTTGGGTCCTCTGAGAAGGTGTGTCCTCAGCTTGGGCGTGCCGCGGATTGTTTTGCTCGATTTTTCACTGATCTGGGTGCGGTTTTTCAGGGTATCCTTTCCACCTTAGTTTAAGGGAGACCCAAAAGGAAACACCAGCATTTTGCTTAGTCCCCCATTTTGGCATACATGCATCTGTGGAAGAGTACCGGGGCGGTTCATTTCTTCTTCAGGGGACCCTGTGTCACGCTCCAGTTCATGGGAGGGAGGGTAGATTTGTCATAACCCAATCAGACGTGCTGATCGAGGTCAATAAATCATGTGCAGAAACATGCTAACGTCATGCTGCACGTTCGCCAGATTTCCTTAGGGGAGCCTGCTTTTGTTGACCCAACCTGTGTTTCTTGGCCCAGAAACCACAAGGTAAAATGAAGGTTAACCACAGGCGTGGTGTTGGAAAAGCAGGGTCCCCTTTCCCAGTCCCAAGGATACACCTAGAATCACCTGGAACATGTAGAAACCCCTTGAAACAGACACTAAATCCTTGGAAACGGGGTTCCTCTGAGGCTTTGGCCGTTCAATGCTGCCCAACGCCCTGGACAATAGTCGGGAGACTGAGCAGCCCATCGACCCGGCCCATTTCGGGCCAAGCCTCGGCCGACACGAAACGGGGTCCCCGTGCCGACACGATTCGGGAGCCTCAAGGGGTGGATGGGTACGAGTTCTTTCGGTGGAAAATCTCCAAAATGGATTGTGGACGTAGATCCTCATATGATCCATGGTCAAAACGTGCGGGCAGTCATGGCTCGTTTCATTGGAACCCTAGCAGTGCTTAGAACAACTCCCTGTTAAAGTTCATGACCATCCCCACCAACCCAAAGGAAAGGGGCTTTGACCATATGGACGATAACACCTGTAGATAAATGTCCATGTAAGGTTCCATTGAAATGCACACCCCAGTGACAAAGCTGAGCTTGCGGGCCAGTTGGTGCATGATGCAGGTCTGGACCGATCATCCAATGGCCAGTCCTCGCAACTTTCACGTAGTTGTGTTTTCCAGCGGGTATGCTTTGAAGCACTTGGAAAACCAATTTGTGGGGTCCCCCTGTTTTGACACATCCCTTCAAGCTCCGCATGCGGGCAACAAGCGAGCTGCAAGTGGCGCTGGGGTTCGGACTCCGGCCAAAAGAACAGGTACTTGGGGAACTCAAGCTGGCAGTTGACAAATGGAGCAGGCACGGTCTCACATTGCCAGGACCAAAACACTTGCCAATCACAGGCCTACACACATTCCGACGGCAACAATTTCTGGGCTGGTTTCGAAGAAACCGAGAGAACGCACCATTTTAGGGGTCCCGGTCCCCATAGTTTGAGAGAGTTGCTTCCTGCCTCCTCGTCGGAATCCTGCTTTGGCCTTGGCCATGGCTTGCCGGGCTCACGTATTTGGGTGTCTTTTTTCAAGGAAACCCCCTTTGGTTGGTTTGGAAAGAACCCTGACGGGAAAAGCTGTTTGGTTGGTTTTTGTTTAACAAAACATGAGACATTCATGGTGCTTCCCTAATTTGAAGACAAACCCAAACAGAAGCTTTTCCAGGCCGCTGGGGCCGCAGCAACCGCTTCCAAGCAGGTCGTGAAGCCCACCTGTCGGGAGTCCAAGAGGAAACAAACCCGTTGTTCAAAAAGTGTCCAGGTCGGGGATGCCTCAAAAACCGTAAATTGTCTTGGTTTCCCTTAAAACACACACGAAACGGATATCCTCCAAAAAAGCATACACCACACACAATTGAAGACTCGCTGAGCCCAAACCAAAAGGAAATCAACCACCTGGAGGGGCAGTCTAATTTTGCAAAATACCCATATTGGTGCAAAAGAACATCTGCCATGATGGCTCTGCATGCCACGCATGGAAGACTTGCTGAGCCCCGGGCATAGATTCGTCAAGCAGTTCGTAACAGCCATTGAGCGACCGCAACCTGTCTGCTCCCGGGTGATTCTAAATGACCAAAGGGAAAGTCACCATTTTGGGGGTCCTCTATTCTAAGATACACCCAGCTAGTATATAATTCAGGCCTGGTGCCACATCCGCTGATGCACAAGAATTGCGGCGTCTCCGCTTGCAAAGCCCCGAGCTGCAGCCAAGGCGTTTGCCTGCCATGCAAATTTCTTCGCGCCATCCTTTCCCTTGTTCTCAGCCGCTCTCTCTCTCTCTCTCTCTCTCTCTCTTCCGCAGCCTCTCTATCTTTCTCCCTCTCTCTCCCTCCCCTTCTCTGATCGTCGCTCCTCTTCTCTTCTCTTTTCTTCTCTTCTCAACATCCAAAAACAAGCGCGGCAAAGGTGCACAAGCTGTTCAGATAAGAGCGAGCTTGGAGGTGCCTCAAATGGTGCAAGGCATCTGAGAAGTCGCTACACGTACATCGTTGCTCTTGGCAACAGACTCTGGCTGGACCATGACGATAATGACACCCTGGCGCCTCCCATGTGAACATGCAGCACGCACACATACACATACACATACACATACACATACACATACACATACACATACACACACACACACACAAACACGCACACAAATGCACACACACACACACAACACTCCGGCAACTTGTCTTCGGGCCTGGCTGTCCGCAGCCTCCCAGCTGGCAGCATCCTGCTCCCACCGAAATACACCACACACACACTTTAATTGCAGGTGTCCGCAAAAGTGCGAAGTCCTGTGGAAGTGTGCAGGTCCAATTCGGGCCACTCCGTGCAAGGACCTGATCACAGCTTCCGACAGCATCCAACAGCGCAACCGACCACAGCACAACCTCGCCTGACCAAATCGACCCAGCGCATCTGGTCTGGCAGACCTAGTCACCAACGAAGCGCAATGGCATGTGCAAGTTGAAACTAGCTGGCAAGCAGGCTGGGTTGCACGCGCGACTGCATGACTTGCTGCCAATGGAGAAATGGTGCTGACCTGACAATTATGTCTTCAAGCAAAGTAAGCCAACAGAATATCACAGCCCATCAAACTGAGCAGCAAGCCACCCAATAGCCGGACCGCGGTTCGAAGAACAGAAAGAGTCCTGGCCTGTTCCCAGTGAGCACAGCATACATCGAGAGTGGTGAATAAACTTTCATGTGCGGGAGTTGAAACCTGAAATGAAAAGGTAGCCCATCCCTGCCAACCGCCGGTTTAATTCGGAACCAGGAACCAGAATAGTTCTGAGGACCACTCAAAATTTGAGCGTTTACAAGAACCCACATTGGGTTTTGATAAAACCCATATTGGGTTTCTATGAAAACCCAACCCAATGATTTTTATAAAGGCCCAGTTTCACAAGGCTCGTCTCTGAGACCCCAGCTGTGCAGGCAGACCTGGCCTTAGCTTGCCACTGGGTGCTTCTGTAGATGCTCAGCACCCTTTTTTGGGAAAGGATGGAAAGGACAACCACCCCTTGCCTTCAGAGAAAACCCACGATTCTGGGGCTCCAAATCCCGATTTTCACGCGCCAAACCCGCGCGAGTCTTGGCTACCGCGCCCTGGGCCGCAAGCTTGCAGCGCTGTTCGCCGGTAGACCTGGCGAACGGCGATGCGGGATTTGCGAGCGCTCAAAACTTGAATCCCGTGGTTGTTTTCCCCTCAAGGGGAATTCCTAGGTCTGTTTTGGGGATAGTTGAAACATACAACCCTGGTTGTGGATCATGGGTCTGCCTTTTTTGAGGGTACCGCGTTTGAATGGGAAAAGGACATCGTTGTTATTTAAAAGGTTCTAAATATTTTGAGAGCCCAAATTTCATGAGCCCATGTTACCTTCGTGGTAAACGGCCCATGTTTAATTGACCCCGGAAGCCAAGCGGGAATGGGCATGTGTTCATACATTTACTGTTGGGTGAAAGTAGATAGCGCAATTCTCCCCATGTGGCTTTGGTCATCCCCTGAGCCTCATAAAGAGATGTACCGTCTACCTTTTTTCCTGGAGTACAGGCCCGCCAAATGGTTGGTGTCATGGGCGTCCTGCGAAAACTCCAATCAACACCAATAGTTTCCCCTGATCGCCAATTGAAACCAGCGCTCCAAAAATCGGCGGAGCACCGGCCGCATCCCGTATCTCTGACGCAGCCTGGATCCGGAAACGTTGTGATGTGCCGCTGCCAGGGCTTGGGTTGAGCTTGAACTGCACAAAAAAAAATATACATACTTGCATATAGGTTGCTATAGCTGTTATCTCTTTACGGGCCAACAAGCCAACCTGGTCACTGGGACGAGATGCATCAAGAAACTAATCTGGTCACACATTGATGTGGCTCGCGTGAGTCCTGAGAGCCTGGCAGCCTGAAATCACCTGCAAGCGGATGCTCGGCCACTGCCACCTCTGCTTCGCCTGACGGCCGGTGGATTTTCTGCGGGCGAGCTGATACAAACAATCGGTAGGGCAAATATCTGGTCCGTGAGAAATGAAAACCAAAGGAAACAAAAGGAATCCAAAGGACACCAAACCAGTTTTATTCCCTTGCGTTTTATAGTATTCGTCTGTGGCACTGTGCCTTGGCAAAAGAAAGCCACCGTCCGCGGAGGAGTCTGATCCACCACAGCCACAACCTCAGAGTTGCTTCAGAGCATCAGGCCACTGGCAATCGCTTAGGCGAGCGGCCGCAAGATCTTTGCAGTCCTGAAACATGTGGGAGTCCTGCAGCCGGAATGAGCGGTTGCGAAACCTGTGAGCAAGAGGCAAATTCACGCGGCTTGTCCAAGGGCGTGAAGACTGTTAGACACGGGAAGGGTGGGCCTTCATTGTCCTGAAACCAAAAGTAGACCAATCATTTTTGTCAGGTGCTCACGTGCGTTTGCGCGTCCTCGCGAAGCTCCGCTTTCTTGCCACGTGGTAGGAAGATGCTGAGCTCCGGCTCGGCGGTCTAGGCAGGCAGACTAAGGCTGACTAAGGAAACAAAGGCCACCGTCTTTTTGTAGCTGAAGCAGCAAAAAGGAGCAAAGGACATGTTCCCCGCAGGTGTGAGATGAGACCTGGACTTGGGCTGCGGCACGCATCTGCCAGGCACCAAGATCCTTCTCGAGGCCCTCCAGAGCTAAGTCCACTTTCGGATTGGGAACTTGGGACTGATCCGAGCCCCAGTTCACTTTTTGGCAAGGGAACATAATTCAGACACCCAAAAAGGCCTTGAAGGACAAGGTAAGACAAGTTTAGTGGGAAAAGGCCAGTGCATGTGTCTCAAAATGAGTGGTTTGGACCCCCGCGAACGGTGGTTTCTAGCTGGTGTTCGGTTAAGATCATTCAAAAAAGGGTGCCCCTAAAAAATGGCAAACCCACCTGTGCCATAAGCAGATGCAATGAGCAGTGCAAACATCGGGCGAGCCTCGTCCCATCCGATTGGACTCCGAGCAAGAACACTCAAGCCTTTAGCGCCCACTTCCGGCGCAACCTGCCGATGAACGCGGTGCCCAGCTCAGGAGCTATTTCACACGGTCCTCCCAGCGATGTCGTAGGTCATCATAGAACAGAAAGAAGGGTCTGTCCTTCAGCGACTTGTTGAGAAATACAGTAATTGCAACACACATGCACGCACACAGTAGTTCAGCAAGCGTGCCTGAACAGACTTCTCTTCCACTTCAAAGATGCCTGGAGTGATCAAACAAGCATCTATTGACATGCATTTCAACGCAGGAACACACATTTATTCGTGGACAGTACAACAACCACCACGCAGCATGATGTGACTGCAAAGGCCGGGACGCTGACGAAGCGCAACTCACTGTCTCTCACACACCCCGACAGCATCCAAAGCCGGTACCCACTTGGAGAGTTGACCAAGCACGCAACCGAATGAAGTCAGGTCAAGGCTCAGGTGCTTGTATGTCATGGGTATGAACTCTATTTGGGACTCCTTTGGTGAACATAAGTATGGGGAATTTATGTGAGCCATGGTCAATACTTCAGGTGTTCCCAACCGACATGGATATTTGGATCCTAAACCCATTTCCCTAATGGCAATTTGGTGAGCATTGCTTACTGCCGTAGCTGACGGTAAAGACTGACCGTTGGCACCTCCAAGCATCTTTAAGGGTATTCCAACCATCCAAAAGCATAGGATTCTGACCCCGCCTCCCCGGCGCAAGGCGGCCTGGGGTGCTTGGAGCGTGACTGGGCCGTTTTTGCTTGGTTCTGCCGGTTATTGATGGGAGCCATGGGAAGGAATCGGCCCTAGTGCTTGATGGCCCCAAATAGCCAATCATTGCCAATCGTAGTCACTCTGACTTCCTTTGCCATGGCTCTCAATCAGTATAAAATAACACTGTTGGCGTGGTGGTTTCCACAAATGAAACCACTTGACTGTTGGGTTCTGCTGATACGGTCAATCAAGAGGGTTCATGAAGACCTTACAGTAGACCAGCAAACAACATGGCCTATGCTTTTTTGCGCTTCTCAAACGAGATTGGCTTTGGAAGTGCTTTGAGGGGAAGGGTGTCCGCGTGTGGACCTGAGGCTGTCCATCCAAAAGGCTGCCAGTGTCCAATCGAGGGTCCCGCTTTCTGCCTAACCAACGGTGCCTCTCCGACCCTCTGCAAAACTTATTTGTTTGAGAAATGAATTTGCATGCCGGTGGATTTTTTCAACGGCATGGCAACAATCCATCCGGGAGCAAAAATACAACTTCCGGTTGCTCGGCTTCGGCCCTTACTCAGGCGGGTGGAGGCCTTGATGCCGTAGCCAACATGAGGTCGGAAAAGCACGTGGTCACAGACCAGAAAGAAATCACATACTCCTTCTTGCGACCAAAATCGAAAGGTTGATGGATCCCGTCACGAAGATGGGGTGGCACGAGTGTATGACGGCTGAGGCCTCCAAAAATCCCAATGACACAAACAAAATGAGGCGATCTCGCAGGGGAAAGAGAAACAAACTGGACAACCACCATGGTGGTTTCTCGTATTTGAACACACAATTATAAGGCACGTCCAAAATTGCTTGCTCCCAAAAGTGGACTTTGGAGAATTAGTAAGTCTTTCTGGATTTTGAGTCCGCGAGTCTCGCATGCCCGTTCTAAATGGGCCCTGGACTACCAGTAAGTTTGACCGAACCTCGAAGGCTTCAAGACATGGCCTTGATGAATACTGGTCGGTCTCCATACAGCTGGTCGGATCTCACGTAGTCTCCGCTAAGGCCTGGAATCCCTTTGCTCAGATTCCACGCTCTAATGTTTTGGATGGTTTGGAGGTTGGGGAAGGGGTGGTTTCCTGTGTAAAAAATCATATCCACTAATCAACATCACCAATTGAAGAGTTCGCTGATTCACTCCATCTGGGAGTTTCACAAAGCAGAATCCCCATTATTCCCCCATTTGGTGCGGTTTTGCTGAGAAACCAAAGGAAACCAACTGGAGGAATCGGTCCCTCACTCTGAGAAACGCCCATCTTGGCATTTTGTCAAATCTTGCCGGCAACGCCAAAGCGCTCCGCAAGGCCAGCGTGGTTGAGAAAGTGCAAGCATAGCTGTAGCTCGGTCTCCTAGTGCAGCCCCTGAAGCCAAACTCTATATGTTCAACGCATCACAATCCAAATATATACGACTGCTTTGTTGCCCCCCAAAGGACTCTATCCTACGCAGATTACAATGGAACCCAACAAACCCTCAAAGGTTGAAGAATCTCCTTTGGGGGACCCCTTTTTGGGGGTTGGCAAATCAAATCTCGATACATTTCAATAAAGAATCAGTTGACCCTAAATTTGTTCGAGCAAATGGGTTTTAGGATGGGTTGCCTTAAACATTAACCCAAAGGGGAGTTTCCGGAGGAAAAAAAACACCCGTTCGAGCCACAATAAAAACCTAGCTAAATGGACTATCTCACCGTAGTCCGAAAATCCGCCCCTTTTGCTTATTTACATGCGTTTCTAAAGAAAGCCAAGTCATTTTGGGGGTCCTCTGCAACTCTTAGCCTGCTCGAAATCCCAGGCCGAATCACAATCCGTAACCCGCGCATTCCTTGGTGATCTCCGTGGGGAAATTGTGGTCAGAGCCTTCTGCATCAAAACTCCGTGCAACCACGTAGTCCGTCATCCGCACACCGCATACTCTAAGCCTTAAAACACGCGCAATCGACATAACCGCCAACATTATTGGGCATTGGGTTTTGAGCAAACCGCGAACTCATTCAAACCTGAAGTGTCCCGAGTCCTCGTGCTCCGAGGCACAAAGCTGCACCGTGGCATCCAAATCTGGAGATGCCTCCCGTTGCGAGGCCTCAAACCACCCGCTGGTGAGCCACGGTGAAAACACGCCAAGCGTGGAATGAACTTCAAGTTGGACTCTGGTCAAGGGCCACAATGGACGTGCAGCCACTGGTCAGCCATATGTCTGAAGCGGGCCACAGGCCAATGTTCAAGCAATGTGGTCGAGCAGTCTGCGGACAAGTAATCTCACATCTCGAATTCAAGTGGGCGTGTGGGTGATCCTCCGCAAACCAAATGGAACATCAAGCGGGATCCGATGTTGAAGGGCCGGCTCAAGCATCCATCAGCCAATCAGAGTCTGAGAGCAGCACGCGCGACAGGGATCTCGCCACGCTCCGAGGCTGTGCCTGCCCAGTGCCCCAAACCGGCGTTTTTCATGAGGAACAGCGGTTGGTGGACATGAAAACTCCCACTTCATGCCCAAATGGCCCGGCTCACGCAGACCCTCTCGCTGTTCCCACGAAAACTTTGAGAAGGAAGAAAAGACCGTGCAAGGAATCAAAATGGCAGATTTCTGCACCTGTGCCTGGCTAGAACTGCCTTTAACCTTCGTTTGTCTGGCCAGAACTTTTGGGCACTGCTTGGTTTTCTCAGACGGCTGAGCACACCTTCTGCTCGCCCACGTGTACTTGAAGCTCTTGGCAAGGGACGAAGGTGACCTATGAGTGCACGGGGGGATGGTACCATCCGGAAGTCTCAGAAATGGGAGGAAGTCTCAGAAATGGGAGGGGTACCCGTTTCAAGGTTGGCTAAAAGTGAAACCCAAAAGAATACCACCTGTTCTGGGGGTCCCCAGGTGCCCAAATGGAGACAACCCGTTGGAAACACCAACTCTCGCTTCCAAGTGACCATTTGCCTTCTGAACCGGTGGGCCAATGCATGAAGCTTCCTGGGTGCAGTACCGGTCCGTGTTCACTTGCGCCGTCTCTGTCGCTCTCGGCCAGCTTGAGCGACTTAGCCACAGCCTAAAACCTCTCCCCGGCATGCCCCGGTGCCTGGCTGCGATCCGTCCAGAAACCTCCAGGTGCCCCGGCTCGCCGTCTCTCCGTCATGCCGAACTGTAGCCGTGTCCTGAGGTGTGACAGTTGTCCAGTGTCTGCAACAACTTGATGCGCACCAGGCTCAAGCAACATGTGTCCAAGGGTTCTCCCGATTTTGCATGGCTGACGCGGCTGACAATTGATTTCGCACCCAACATCTGACGCCCTCTGGGCTCCCAGCGGCAATGTCCTGATAATGGACCAGGGTTCATTTGGCCTGGCGCGCACGGCGCTGGGCATTCGCGGGATCGCAATCCGGCAGAATATGAGGCCCAGGCAAGCTGGCAGGCGACCTGCGACCGTTGCTCAGAGCCCAGCCGGAAAAGACCGTTTCCTGAGGTCGCAGCGAGGACGTCCAAGCAACGGGGCTCCTGACCGCAAATGCATTGAGTCGATGACTTGCCAGCAAGGTTTGGCAAAGGCACAGAGATAAACGCAGAAAAATGGGATTGCAGACCATGCCCAAAAGCATGGCGTGCCACGTGTTGCAAACGCAATACAGTAGTAACACTTAACAGGGGCATACCCCCTGAGGGAAATTCAAGGCACAATGCGGGAAAGTGTGGGAATGGTGTGACACGATGCGGGGATGTGGCAGTTCGCAGCTGAGAAATGTGGAGAGGCAGGCGCGTCGCTTAACGCGTGAGCATGTTTTATGCTTCACAAACAGTTGTGATGCAAGCAGTTCTGATGCCACCACACTAGTGTAAACACAGCACATGCACCGCTTGTCCTGGCAAGCGTGCTTGCTCCGTGCGACTTTGGTACAGCCATTTCCTGGCGTGTGTTTTCAACCACCTGCTGAATTTGAAGGGGGCCCTGTTTTTGGGCCCATAAACCAAACGGGAGGTCAAACACAGGGTCCACGAGTGCGAAGTATGCACCAAGCGCTGGGCCTCCGAAGAATCACTTTGGTCCTGGCGTGGCACGGCCCGCATATCCAAACTGACGTCAGTGTGGGTTGTCAGAAAGTTTAACCCTTTTGAGGACACCTGGCATTCATGGCTAAAACAAAGTGCAATTTCGAGACTCCCTGCACCATGTTCACTTGCAGAGACCCTGTCCATGGTTTGACAGCCCCTGAAGACCACCCGAACAGTCACCTCCCAGGCACTCAGCGAACAGCTTGAGATAAACCATCTTCCAGAACCTTGGAAGCAGCGTGAAGAGCGGAAAGGTGTCGCTGACCAACATTTACAAGTGACAAGGGACAAGCATTGCAAAAGCAAGCGGAACGCTCCGCTTCAATATTGAGCAAATAATGATATGCTTCACCCACAATGAGCCTATCTAACATCTATTAGGCAATGTTCCTTGCACTCATGGCTGTTTATCCTATTGCACTAATTTGGCATATCCCATCGAACGCACAGTCCCGAGGGCTCAGCGCTGAGAAAAGTGCATCACTTTCCTGTGGCAAAGAAGTCACGCGCCACTGTTGGCTCCCAGCACTTTGCGCCCGCCTCTCTTCCTCCCGTCTCTCGTTGCCATCATCTTTGACAAAGGCGGGTCGGCTTCCCATCCAAACACCTCCCGAACGACACGTGACCAAAAACTCTATTGCTTCCTCCCATGTCAAAGATAAGTTGCAAGCCATCCCCAACAGCAACCCCAGAACCCTTCCGAAATCCTGGCGACTCCAAAGCGCTCACAGTCGTTAGGAGAAAGAACCAGATCTGGCCTTGCAACACGTGATACGTCCCGTTGAGCTGGCCGTGGTCCCCCTTGCAACCGGTCACATGTACAGCCTGTACAGCCTCAGCGCAAGCTTCCGCTGCAGAATGTGCTTGTGTTTTTGCTGAAGCTCAGTACTCTTTTGAGGCTGGTGTATCCCAAGCCTACCAATCTACGACTTGGGCATCCCTGTTTTGCCGGGGTATGCATTTTGGGGACTCTGAGGCGGACATCTATGTCCATCATGTTTGAGGGTCCCTGTCAAAACTCATTGCCAAATGAGCCACACTCACAATGACTGCTTCCCAAAGAGGACAGGGGGAAATTCCTGAGTTCCCTGGTTGTTGCGAGGAAACTGAGTGAGTCCCCCATATCCTTTTTTAATGGACCATAGACTGATTTCGCACTGAGGAGAAGGCATCCGGGGCGCTTTTCACATGCCGGAAGCAGGCGATGCTGGGATCCTTGTAGGCCTGGCTCCCCGCCGCTCACTCGAGTGAAAGCAGTCTGTATGGCAGTTGGGCAAGACATCTTATAGTCTACAGTTATAGTGTTGATGGAGAAAAGCACCGCTCAAACATCTAGTTGTTTGCAGGTTGGAGGCAAACGTACAATTCCCAAAAACTTGATTAAAGATCCAACCCAATAGCATTCAAGTTGTGAGTAACAGCTAGCATACCCAACCAGAAGGGCCAGTTAGCACACAATTGGATACAACCGGCCTTCCCGAAGGCGAATACCGTCCAGGGCATGGCACCTAGGCTGATTCGGGAAAAAATGCCAAAGTAAGCAGCGCCCCAAACCTATTAGGCTCTACCAACATGGCTATAAATATAATAAAGGTTTATATTTACTGAAATGACCACTGGGTACCCTCTTCATTATCTCTCTACCCTCCCTCGACAATCGTTGAAGCTGACAGGAAGGCGTTGGAAGTTTACGTTCCTTTTGGGAACCTTGCTGCCATGATTACCTGGTGTCTCCATCAAATAACCCCTCAACTCCTGGGCTTTACTCGGCACCCAAGGACTCTTAGGCCCAGGCATAGGTTCGGGGAGGGAGACGAGAAGTCAGGGCCACTTCGCGCCAGCACCTGGATAAAGCTCACGCATGCGTCAAGCATAGCTCTGTGGAACTTTTCAAAATGACCCCGGATGAATCAACTTGGCAGACTGGGGGGTGCTCCCCCCAATAAGTGAAGGAGTCCCTAGGAATCAACCAGGGGTTTCAATCCGGTCTCGTTTTTGTTTGGCAGCGACAAGCTCCTCTGAATCCGAGCCGGCGTCACGTGCACACCTGCTGCAAGCACCTCCGGGAGAAGCGGAAAAAGAAGCAGCAGGTGCACAAGGTCGTGCAAGGCGAACGCGGCAGGCATTGCAACTAAACACGAGACTGGGATGACGGCTTCCAGAAACTGTCACCGCCTTTTTCATAAAGGAGCATGAAAAAACAAGCTGCGTGGCTCGACTTGGGGGGGTTGTCAAATTCGGTGGGGGGGTCTTGATATTCCCTTTAAAAGGTGGCAAAAACGGTGGCACAAGGGTCGTAATTGTTGGTGCCATCTTGTGATAACCCCCAACTAAGGCTTGGGCAGAAGCTGCTACACTCCAGTAGCCCATCTCCCCGAAGAACAGGTAGAGGGGCCGCAGTTCGCCATCGTGCTGACAGGCGCAAAAGCGGCATCCCAAAGCGTTTTACCTAGGTAAGGAAAGGCGATGTCGAAAGCAGCATGTGGGAATTGCGCCGTTCACCCAACTGTACGTCACAGGGGTGGAGCTCCCTTTGGCGTCACGCCCTCTGGCACGCATTTAAGTGAGACACGCACCTGCCTCTGCCCAGCCGCTGGCTTTTGTTTGCAGTGGTTTTCCTCTGCCTCGGATGCAAGTGGTGCCCAAGTGGTGCCCGAAATACGGCACCGTAACTTAGCTTCAGACGAATCCAACATGGCCGACCATTGGGCCGCACACCCTGCCGAGATTCAAGGGTGACTGTGTGTGTGTGTATGCTATAGACATATATGTTATACATGATATATGTACGTAGATGTAATACACAGTAATTCTATGTTATTCAAATTCATACATGGCTGCCTGCCAAACCCAAATAGCATGGCCGAACATGTTGTTTATGCAAAGCACGGTGCCGCGGATCTCCGGCCGACGTCGGGCTGATTTCCGTTCGGCCTGGGTGTCGTTTCCTCTAGGGTTGGGTGATCCCTGGGTCATGCTCACGCATCCGTTGCCAGAAGCCCCTATCATTCTTGTAGCATATTTCTCCATAAGTATGATCACCATCCCTGCTGACCCCAAGTACTCAGGCGAGGTTGTATATCGCTAGTGCTTGGTTGTCGGCTTTTGTTTTGCAGTCATGTGATTACGGGTACACTTGTTTGGATGGTGCTAAAGGAAAACAAAGGGAAAAACCACCCGTGTTGCGGTTCCTTCAACAAATCCATGACTACATGTTCTTGCAAGCAATCCAAAATAACACGGGTAATCCTGCGCTCAGTTTTGTGTCCGAGCAGGAAAGGGATTTACTTTGACAAACAAGCACGGCGTCAGCTCGTAGACAAGAACAAGTGCCGTTGCCGCGTTGCTCTGAAATCTTGCTCGGTTGGTGTAAAGGGATGCAAACTAAAAGCAACCCCACAATTTTGGGGTCCAATCCCAATTTTGACACATACCCATGTGCTTCCAGCTTCCACCTTAGTCTTTCGAAAGTCTGACTCCAAGGCTACACCAGAGCTGCTCGGCTTGTCGGAGCTGCTGAGGAAAAGCTTGAGGCAAATCTGCATGCCGAATGTGCGATCGTTCTGGCTGTTTCGTTCATCCGGTGTCAGTGTCAAGTTTCAGGACTTTCTCGGCTGCAACGGAAGCCTCTGTGTCAAATCTATCAAGCGCGCTTTCTTCATCTTAGGTGTCATCTGCATTTGAGAACTCTTCACGTCCACCCAAAACCGCGTGAAAAGAAGTCGAAGTTATCTATACAAGCTCAGGTGACAACTGATCATGACATTTCATGAAATACAAGGCAAGGCGCCTCAACAAGTTCGTAGTCGCCATTGATCTGTTGGCCGGGACCCTCCCTTCCTCCAAGCGATAAGAGCCTGGCAACTTAGCGCCGCTGTCCGACCAAGCTGATCAAGTTGGTGGACCCTAAATGCGTTGTTGGGTTCCTTTTGGTTCCCTCTAACATACTGCAAACGGGTGTGTCCTCTATTTTGAGAAACCCCCAGATGTGTTGCGCGGCCAAACGTGGCCAAACGTGGCCTCGGGCATTCCTCCTCCTCAAGATTGCGAGGCCTTGGACGTGCCAGTGCAATCTGTCATGTCAACCTCGGAGTAATCTGAAGGACCGTACTAATCGGGGCCTTTCAGCAAGAAAATGATCTATTTTAGGGGGTTCCTCTGACTGGTAGGGTCCTCTGGATCAATCCGAACATTAGCTTTTGCAGAGGCTGCGGCTTTGATCTGGGCCTCACGCACGTTCAAAAAGCCACTGAGTGAAGCACATAGCAAAGGCTGGGAAGCGGGCACTGGCTGGCGAGGTGACACGCCTGGGCTCCTGAGCGAATTCGAGTGACGCGAAGGCGAACTTGCACGCCCTTCAGATTTGCTTCTTAAAATAGGAGCCTCCAAATTCAAATTTGTGGTTCCTAATTACATTGGTCCTGTAACAGCACCCCAAAACGCGCACCCTACAAAATGACTATACCCATGTTCATGTACAAGCGACTTCCCGGTCCTGGATTCCATCTCACATGTGCACGACAAGGGCAGGTTGGTGTGCTGAACAATGATGAAATAGGAAACCCTACAATAGCTGGTGTCCTGTTGCTTTCCTTTAAAACCGCAAGCCCCATGTTGGCACAACAGCGTTAAGCAACATGATCGTGTGCAATGGTTTGTGAAGTCTGTTGCTTGCCATACAAATAAGCTGCGGAATGTCAATTGCAATGCTGGCCAGCCGCACCCACAACCATCAGAAAAAGTGCGTAGTTGTTTGAGGTTTGATTGGACCAGCCAAGCAAGATAGCTTTCTAAGGTCCATGCATGCCCTCTCTGCAATCACAAACAGGACAGTAACGAAACTGTCCAACTCCATGATTGTTTGAGACGGAGTCAGAATGTCAAGTCGGGAACTCTACGAAATGATCGCACTTCTGCGACGTCACTTCTCGGCTTCAGCTACACCAAAGCGCATCTGCTGCAAGCATCAGCACCTTGCGGACTGTGAGCCAGCGAACGTGTATGTAAAAATTGGGGACCCCCAACATGGATTTCGGTGTTCCTTTTGGTTTCCCTTACAGGTGAAGCGTGTACCCTCCAAAGGAAAAAAACGACGGCCAGTCGAGTTGCCTGTCCAGTTTGAGGCATGGGCTGGCAGCCCTTTGATTTCCCAGGCTTCTTCAACTTCACTTGGGCGGCATTGGGCTGGACCTCGTGCGAACCAAAAAACACGACGTCGCATCGCCGCATCGCACTCCGCCAACAGAAAAGGCACAAACACACGCACGCACGAACCTACGCACGCACGCTCGCACTCACCCACACACACACACACACACTCGCGCGCGCGCGCGCGAGATGTGGTCAAACTGCTGGGCCAGTGACGTCGGAATATCTTTGTTTCACGACATCATCAGCGATCGAGAGAAAAGCCTGAGACAAGTCACTGTGCCGGTGCTGTCTGCTCATTTCTCCCTCTGCAGTCATTCTCGTCATCCAAATGCTGCATTGATACTTAGGTGTTCAAGCAGGTCGTGCTTGTCATTGAAACCAATTGATTGCACTATGCTCCCTGTCAAGGCTAAAAGTTGCGGGAGTGCTCTTCCCCCCTGAGCAAAAAGTCCAACCACTTGTAGGGTCAAAGGAAATTAAATTCGTTTCCAAGCGATCTAAGGGACGATTCAGTCACACCAAAGACCAGCCATGGTTGGAAGCATGGATGCCAAACAGCTGCATATTGCCCATGTTTAACAAGGCAACGTGCCTCGTCGACCTCCTGCCCTGTCTTCGCAGAGGTCTGCAAAGGGAAGGGACATAGACATCTCACATGTCCAATACTTACACACCCGAAACGAATATAGTATACCCCAAAATGAGCTAAGGCTTTGTCATTGGGGGTAGGTAAATAGGCCCGGAGAAACTTGTTCGAAGTGTGTGGCCATGGGTTCCTATGCAATCTAGCCGCTGACGTCAGCAAGCACCCTTTTTCGAGTTCCCCTGTTTTAAGACATGCCCAGGATGTCCACACATGCGCGCCTTTCCCAATAGGCTGGGTTTGGCCTAGGGAAACCTGCGCATCCCCAGCATCTGATCCATTTGTCTAATCTGTCACAGCCCCGCGACCTGAAGTGCGTCAACTCGGTCCCAGCGAACCCCAAACCTGACACAAACGCCAATCACACAAACATCACAAACACAAACACTAGATTCACACTACAACAACCATGCCAAAACATCAAGACTCTGATTCATAAACACCACCCGCCCGCCCGCCCGGCAAAGAAACGAGCAAGGAGTCAAGCCAACAAAACTGCAAGCTAAACAGCCGCGACAACCCAAGCTAAGCTTGTAAGGGCACCAGCGGACACAGACAGAAGCCAGAGCGAGAGCCAGGGCCAAGGGCAAGGGAACTTGAATTCGGTGCAATAGGCAAGCAATGCGGCCTCAAAAAACTTCATATTGTACTGCGTTGCCAGCTTCTCTCCTTCTTCTCTGGTGACCTTGGGCGTCTTTTCATACCGTGCTCCCAGTCCGTGCACGGCAACCGTCGCTTTCTGGGCGCTGTGCTTTCCGATTCTCATTCAAGTCGGACTTGTTGCCCACCAGGACCCTGCAACGGGAGTGAAATATGTCAAGTCTATAATGTCGCGGTAGAGATCAGAACAGAGATATTTCCAGGCAGGCTAACCTGCAAACCCAAAAAGCATCATTTGAAAAGGGATCCTCTTGGGAGCACCCCCCCTTCGAGTTTCATTTCAACTGGGGAGTAGCTTGTGAACAGCCTAGAAGGGTCTTTGATCCTCAGAAAACACGCTGCCTCTGCACTCCCTCATCTCCATGCTGGTCCAACTGCTGCAGCCAGTAGTCAATGTGCTCGAACGAGGCCTCATCACAAACGCACCTAAAAGCACCTACTGACAAAAGGATCGTTGCCAAATCTCTCTGAATGTCATTTCGCCCAACAAATCGTTGCACATTCAGCCCTGCCTTGTCCGTGATGTCGTAACAAATCACAACACCCATGGCCTGCAACTTGCCCACTACATGACAGTGTCTTGTCTCAACGAACATACTGCCGGGCGCATAAACTGCTTTGAATGAGAAAGCAATGGAGTCTGCACAAAGCGCGTCGGCACGGCCGCTCTGTAGTATGCAGGCGTGATGGTTCCTGGTGGGCAAGCTCGCATTGGAGTCGGCTCGTGTGATGGTTCTTGATGAAAAGATACAATCGATGCTGAAGTTGAAGAATACTCTCCCCAGACAGTTCCGCCAAATTGAGCTTTTCGTTGGTAGTGTTGGGAAAATTCCATTTCAGGCGCGAAGTCTTGATGGCCAAACTTGTGCTTGCATAGTCTGAGGGCAGCACGGAACCGCTCCTGTCCAGCAGTGTCCCAGACCTGCCGGAGCTATGCGAGCAAGCAAGGGCAAGCACGTCTCAATCGTACACGGAATATGCCAAGTAGCTCAAACTATGCCCTATTGCCAAGCACCTATCATTTCTGGGATCAACCTGCCAACTAATGCAGGAGTTTGCCAGTATTGAGGACTCCGGTGTCTAGAGCTCGTGAATGTGCCAAGCCTGGATTTTGAGTTTCCGCGCATCCCGCTCCACTTGCTTCCATTTGAAGTCAACGCCTGGCGCATGCTATGCAGCCAATCCATGAGACGGGGTCCACAGTGGCAATCTCAAAACCATCGAGCTCTAAATGGTGGCTTAAAGGGAAGCCTCCCCCAAAGTAACCTTGAGAAAAACCTCAAAATGCGCGCTTTAAAGGAGCCTGCAGAATCACAAGCGAATCTGCTGAGCGGACCTATTGTGAGAACGAAATTCGCGTCGAACTTGCTCTCACAAAACCGCATCAGCAGCGATGACCTCGCCACGAGCTCGAACTATGTCAAACTACAACTTGAGCATATGCTGGCTGGCACGACCGTACGCGCAATCAAATTGGTCCTGCTGGGTATGTGTCACAATCGGGGCAATCCATCTGAAAAAGGCCACCAAGAAATCACGTACCCGGATTGATTTTGCAGGGATCAACGCTCAGCTTGCCACTTGCCAACAGCGGAGTCGCCCAGCAGCAGCAGTTTCACGAGGTGGTCCTTGTTTGTGCACAATGCATCTGTTTAGCCAATTACTCCCCTTGGGCCCCTGACATAATCGCTGGTAGTTGCCATTGATGACCTGTGGCAAGCCTTGGCCACCTGGAGGCACGAAACCTGGGCTTGTGAAAGGCGGAAAGCTAGACGGTTCTCATGCGCCAAAAGTCAGGCTTTTTTGGTGCTCCAGTTGAGCCCAGCAGCCAAATCTGCAAAGGCTTCGCGTGCCCTCTCTGTAGCCAACCTATCCTTGCTAGTCTTGGTTTCAAAAGCAGCGGGTCAGCGAAGCCAAGAGGTTCATCAAACCATGTTTGATACCTGCTGGCGTTCGAGTCAAAAGTTGCACTGCGCCTTGCTTTGCCGGCTGTGCAGCATTGCATGCCAAGCACGAAGCTCATAGTGTTTTCCATAGCGGTGTACATTTCCTTCCCTTTTCTATCACGCTCACTTTGACAAACAACTGACATGCTCTCGAGCAAACCAATGTGTGGAGTGGAAAGTGCCTCCCTCGGGAATTCCCAACTCGAATTCCTCAACCAAAATTGCGCCCAACCTGCCGAAGCGAAATCCGGCAACAGACGCAGCACAGTCTGGGCGACGAGGAACCTGACGAATGACGTATGCAATGCGAAGGCAGCAATACAAGCCCCAAGGAAGCCAGTGGCTTAGTATCACAGGTCAGCCTTGTCCAATCAGCATCTGTTACGTGTTCTGGCGCTTTCTTGCTTTTAGCATCACTGGCATCACCAGCATCTCGAGCATCCTATGCATTTTATTAGTGCGCTCTGAACACTCTGCATCAGGGCTTTGGGGAAGTCATGGTGACAGGCACCTATTGCACAAAGCCTGACACCAAAACTGGGAGCTGAGTGGAAACCCATTGAGAATTCGAGGATCTGATGAACAATTGCAAGCACTGAAATCCAGGTGCTTTGGGCGGACAACTCACATTGCAGCAGGGCTCCTATCCAGACATCGGACGCGCATTGTGAGATTCCATGACTGACAAAAAACGCAGGAGCGGGGTTCGATGACTAAGGCTAAGGGGTATGAGCTTCCGCCGATTCTCAGGGCTTCGTTATTGTTGCCGGGACGCATACTGCATAGATCTGTCGAGTTGCGCCGTAAATTGGCAAGTGCTGCCCCATGCAAAGTAAGCGCTGGCATCTTTTTGCCATAAGCGAGATGTGACCTCTCAGCTCTGAATTCCTGGCGACAAATCGTGGGCAACGCTTGTGGGGCAACGCTCATGCCCCAGTGTCTCAGAGGGTCTCCATTACAGCCAAACCACTGCTACCATAGAACTGCTACAAACAAGGGTTACTGGTTTGGAGTAGTGGACACCCTAGGCAGGGCGGGTTGTGCGCCTCAACAAGTTGTTGCATCTCCGGAAGCAGGTACCTGCAATCCAAGTAGTGACTCTACAGCGGTCCTGTGAACAGCCATGCCGCGGGACCAACACTGGGCACAACAGGCGTGACACGCCATGCGCACTTGAGAGTCCCAACGGCATCTGCCTCGCCTGCGCAAGTCATGAGAACAGGCGCAAGCGCCTAGAATGCGAGATTTGTCATCACAACCGACAAGGGAAGCTCGGTCAACTGATCACAACTCCATGCCGCTCCTGGCAGCCGATTGATCCATTCAAAGTCGGACAAATCGATGTTGGCATCTGCCATCGGCACACATCTCAACTCATAGTCTCGCGGGGACATGAGCCTTGTAGGCGTGCCATCGCCAGTGCCAGCCTGCGAGTCAGCAAGTGGGGGGTGTCTTTGTTGCGGAACTCACATTTTTGGTTGGTTTTACAAGCAAGCCAAAGGGAAACCAACCATTGTGGTGCTCCTCATTTTGAGAGAAGCCCAACCTGTGCCATGGTCAAATCGCATGCCTTCTGTGTGGGTCACCCAGAACTGCGACAGAGCACATTCGCCCATTCGGCCTCCGGATGCGCTTCAGGCGCCCAGTCTTGTCCAAGCTGGCCTTTCAACTTTCATCTGACTGTGAATTTGAATTGGAGCCCCTCGAAAGTAGTCGGTGGGCAGACTCCCGTGTGAACGATGTCCACCAAAAGGCCCCTACATTCATACCTCTCTCTTTGGCGGAACCGAAACCGCGCCTGCAAAAGCTGCTGGAAGTATGGCGCAAAGGCTTGCACCTAGGGGCATGGTCGCAAAGAACGAGCGGAAGAGGGAATTGTTTTTGATGGGACGCTTTGGTGGACATCGTTTCCGTGGGGTTTTATGTCCACCAACCACTTCTGCGGGCTCCAAATCAAATTCATAAAAGCGGAGCAGTGATCCAAGCCTTGGAGTTCACCACTGCGACGGTCATGGCGGCACTCAACTGTTGGCGTGAGTCCTGCGCTGCATGCAGGTTGCTCGTGTCTATCGCAAGGGCGCAGTTGGGTGGCATTCAAAGACCAAACATTCGGTCCGACAAGACTGGAAGTGTGAGCGAGCCACGAGGGCTCTCCTGCCAGAAAATCTGAGTTGCAAAGCATGGCAAAGAGCGTGTCTCGCAAATGCGATGACATGGCTGCAAATCGACACTTTCATCCATCCAAGCGAAAAATACAAACAATACCCACATGTAAGCATGGCAAAGTGCAGCCTCTGAAGTCGTTGTGTCCCGGTCATCGCATGATTGCACAACCTGTGCAACTTGATACCCCCGTGCCAAACCAAAACGAAACACTGCAAAGATTGTGCACCTCCGCTATGTACCGGAACATCCACTCGTGCTGCTTGGACGCCCACCTCGCACACTAGAATACATTCCTCTTCCTCTCTCACTCCCTACCTTGGTGGTGCGTTGATCCTTTGCAACTTAACTTCTGATGGGATACGTCGTAAATCCAACTCAAACTCTAGAGTCTAAATCTAAGAGTCTGACTGGGAACTATCTAATTGTACCTACATGCACAATGGCTCCGCATCGTGTGTGAGTCTCCCTTCGCACGATCTTTGGCGCATGTGCTGCCTGAGATTGTGGATCCCACTTGGTCGGCCATGGTTTCCTTTCAACTGTCCCTTACAAAAAGGTATTCGTATCTTGGAAACACACCTATATGATATAGCCTATATGTAAGACATGCTCACACTCACGTATCATAGCGTGCGCACATGTGCTTGTTGCCATTGTTGGCACCTGTGCTCGCACGGGGTGAGTGCTCCCGAGCCCTTGGCGAAAGCAATCGGTCCATTTTTTGTCGAGCGCGAGAGCAGCACTTGCCGTACACCTGTGCGCCCGCAGCCATGCCGAAAGACCAGAATTCATGTGGCAATAGGTGGCATCGCACCTCCAGCAGCACCTGGCGATACCTTCTGCACAAAAGTACATCTGGATCGGTCATGCTTCTAGTCGCATCTTGCCTTGTTGCAACTGTGGCTCGAGGATGCTGAGGGTCAGAAAGCGAGTTTGTCCTGGCCATGGAGTTCAAGTCTGCCCGGGCGGGTGGCGGAGCCGGCCTGACTGAATTTCCATGGTGGCAGCATTGCCGGTAGAGGAAGGCTGTGGCCTGAAAAACTGCATACTCGAGCTTTTGGAGATTCGGCCACCCCCTTGCGCCTGTGACCCTGGGGCTTGGGGTTTACGGGTGTCTGTTTTGTGCGGGTACACTTTGGGTTGGTCGAAATGGGACAACCAGCATTTTTAGGGTCCTCCATATGTCGACACATGCTCTTTTTGGTGTTAACATGTTTCAAGGGGAACCCACCAAGCGGCCAAAGGCTGCTACCACTGAACCGAACAAAATCAAGCTGGCCTGCGCCTCCGTGCGGAAGCCGCGAGACACGGCGAGCGGCGCGTTGGCGATGAGTGCTCCCACGGACCTTTGGGTGATCCGTTGAATGCATGAGAGTGTGTTGTTGCGTTAAATGGTTGGTGGAATAAATTCCCGTGTAAATGAAGTCCACCAAAGGGTCCGAAAAAATAAGAAAGGGGCAGGCGTTCAAACAGGGATTTGGACCGCAAGCGCAAAAATGGTGGGTTTCCCGATACCGTCAAACAGTACCCAAATGGGCGCTGAGACATGGGCTCCTTTCGGATGCTACCCACTTGATTGTTCTTTGGTGCAATCTGGAACCCACCCCACCCCCCGCTTCCTAGAAACCGCTGAACGGGTCCCCTGACTTGCTAAACGAATCTGAATCTGACGGAGCTCTGTGTCTGATGCCGCCGGCCATGCTGTGAACTCCTCACTGGGCATGGAAGCCAAGCGGAGAACCTTCAGATCCTGCAATCAGATGGGTCCAACGTGTTGTTTCACAGAAACCACACCCAATGCAATTTTGGAGTGCCAAAAAAAGCACCCAAATCTAAGGACTTCCTGACTCAGCCATCGTCTGGTAGTTTTCACGTTTCCCTCGCAATGCAACCACAAGGAACCCAAGTCTCCTGCACATCATCTCGCAGCCGCACTTCTGCAGGCCATCCAAGCTGCTTGAAGAGCAGGCCTAAGCAAATTTTCAACCTGCGAATTGTGCAACCAAAGGGGGTCCCCCAAAAGGAGATACCTCCAAAATGTGGCTTGTGGATTCCATGCTAAGCTGCAGGAAAGCAAGGACTGTACAGAGTAGGCTCAGGTGAGCGCGCTTTGACTCTCTGTTCTCGCCCTCAATCGGCACCTGCACGAGCCCCACAGCTCGCAGCTCGCGGGCGGTTGACAGGGTATAAGGAACGGGCAGCCAAGAATTGACCAGCAGAAATTGAAGGACCCTTGCTGTCCTCGGCTTGTTGTGGCAATCATGTGGGTGTGTGTCAAAATAGGGTGAGCCAGAAAGTTGTGGCTATGAGGCCCTGACCCCTTGCAGCAACAAATCCGTGCTGTCTTGCACCTTCGCTCCACTTTCTTGCACCACGCATGCCGCAATGACATCGCCACTGGGCTCTCAGCCGCATGCACAAAAATCTCTTCACCGGCTTGTAGCGACGAAGCAGCTCTCAGCTGAACCTCATCTGCAAAAGATAGAACCCAGAAACTTCAGGGGGACCAATCTTGCATCCTAGCTTGCATGCCACGCAACCACTTGCCGATCGCTGAGCAGAACCTGTCATTGCACGCATTCCCAATCAAGCTGCAAGTCTGCAACTGCGTCGCTCTCTTTCGCTGTCTTTGTCTATTTTTGCTGTTCTCTCCTTCTCTCCATTCTCCTTTGCTCCTTTGCTCCTTTGCTCCTTGTCTCTTTCTTTCTGACTCTCTCTTTCTCTCTCACATTGTGTAACTGATTCCCAAAAAGCCAGCAGGGCTGGATGAGCTGCTCCTTCGCGACGGCGGCACCAATCGATTCCAGGAATCCTCAGACTGCAAGACGTGAGCTGCGAAGAAAATACGTTGTTCCCCAAAAGCACATGGGAAAGTTGCCCCCTCCCCCCCCGTCCCCCGCATCACTCGCTCACATGAGATAAACAACGCACCACGCGCAAGAAGCATTTCACATTGTAGCCACTGGGAAGTTCGGTATTTGCCTGTCTGAGCTTGCCGTCTGCAAGATAATTACCGGTTTACTCCGAACTGAGAATCGAGATCCTGGCATCATGGGTTCCCACTGATCATGCTGAAATCCTCATGCAAAATACGGCTTCAATATTCATGCATGGTCAGACGCAAGTGTCCAAACATGAAGGCATTGCGCACAAAGCCGAGGTGAGCACCTGATCGTAGATTGATGTGTCGCGAATAGTACTGCGCAAAAGCCACCTGTGCTTGCTGAGAAACATGTGGACCAAGTGCTGGATCAAATACAATCAGTGCATCCTGGAAGTTTGATCCTGTCATCGAGCTTGGCCGTCCTATGTCACATCAAACATCTTTTGAAATCTTTTGCCCAGCCCTCTGCAGAAATGTCAGCCTTGATGTCGGCATGCTCGGCTTCGAGGGGGGCAGCTGCATGGATCTGCGAGATGCGGCGCAAGAAGTGCTCAGTCCTGGGTTCTTTCACCCCCGCGAAAAGTTAGGCCCTTCGCGAGGTGGGGACAGCATTCGCAGCATTATTGTCCTAAAGGTTCAAAGCTCAAAGGTGGTCTCAGCAACCAGGAGTCAGTTCACCCGCTTCTGTACCTTCCAACCAGGCCAGTGCATCCACATCCCACAGCACCGTGGAGTTTGAAGGCTCCTCTGCCAGAAATGCGGCGTAGGAGGCCAGCGGTGAATCTCGCCTTCGTTTCAGCACAGCCAAGTGGAGCACAAGCCTTTCCGCATCTGAGATGCTGGAAGCTGTTGGTAGATCTGCCGTCCCTCGCCAGAGCACGGCATCCAGAGGTATCTCGAAAAGCAGATCGCCCTTTTTGACAGGTGCCCGTGCCAGAACAGCTGTCTGCCCATCCACCAAAGAAACCTCCAGCAGCTCGGACTTGATGACTGCGCCCCTTTTGCGCAGGCACCGATGTAAGTGTCTGATGCGTGTTCTGCGCCCTGGGTCCAAACACGTCGAATGAGTGTGGCATGTGTCTGGGGACGCCAAGGGAAGTAGTAGGTTCCAGAAAGCGAGGACACCGACAAGCCACAATCGCATGGTAGGGCATGGCAGCGCTGCTTTCAAAGTAGCGCCAGAAACAAGGCTAACAAGTTCGTGCTGTGGTCTTTGCGTCCATTGTTCTGCCGGGCTTAGGTTTTGCTTCACGCACCATGCATGGCGCCAAGGCTGAGGGCCTCAAGTCGGATCTGGCCGTCCAATCAGCTTCCCCTAATTGATGGTTTGGTTGCTTGGAAGCTACAGGATAGCTTGCCCGCAACAAGAAATAAAGGTTTTAATCCCAAAACCACCAATCCAGATCACCCTGATCCCAAACCCAAATGTCGAAACACCACCAGGGCGTCGTGTTCTCTGACCATCTTCAAAACATCCTACGGTCATGGTGCCCTTGGTCGCAACATGTAGGCACCCTCATAATTATTGTCTAAGACCAGACAAGCAATCGGTTCATTACTACATAGATCTGTTCCATGTGACGATCACCAAACCCAGATGAACTTCGCTCATACTCTGAGCCGTACTACGTGCAGAAATTGGCATGGTTCTTCCGCCAACCATAAAGGAGAGCGCACATTGGAAACTGTCTGTCCATCAGAACAGCAAGGTAAATGCTCAGGCACTGATGTTTTTTTTGTTCTGCTAGTCGAGCCGCCAGATATCGCAACACTGTGCGAGAGCGCAGAGCTATAAGCGAGCACGTGCTGCTCAGTCTTCTGCCAAGCGCTCATTGCCAGCCAATCGGAAAGCCAGCTGCTTTGGCTGTCGGATCTATCTGAAAAGTTGCTCACAAGGGCCTACACCTGCAAGCCGCGCACCGGCCGCATTCGCCATCGGTGGCTGCATCACATCAGTTACAAGAATAGGTGTGTCTCTGAATAGGGGACCCCTCAATGGCTTCTCAGTACCCAAAACACAAGCATGCCCGCATGCCAAAAGCATGAAAGCACAGACATGCGGTATGTCCAGGGGTTAAGGTCCTTCTAGTTGACATGTGTCTGACATGCCAACGCACAACACGCACAACACGATCGATGATCGAAGGATTTCCCACCTAGCCTCATTGCTTGCTTTGAAACCTGACTGAAAGTGCGCAACACTCTAAGAAGCAAGCTCTCTGGAACATCCCAGGATGTTCTGCCAATGTTAGGTTTTTGTGGATGGTTTGCCTGACTTGGAGATGTTCTTGGAGCATTCTTGGGAATACGAGAGTGGCATGGATGGGCGTGGAAATATGAGGCGCGCACCATCGGGCCGGAGCAAAGCTTGACGGCTTTTCTGGAGGGTTCCTGGCGTGCGGTTTTGCTCAACGCCTTCAAATGGGATATCAAAACAGGGGGACCCCCAAAATAGTGGTCTCCCTTTTGGTTTCCCTTTCCATCAACCCCGAAAAGGGATACGGGATACTCAAGAAATACACATGCACAAATCGATGGGCTGATATTTGGGCCGGGCGGACGCAAGCTCTTCGTTGTTCCAGTCAAGAGTCTTGAGATAGTGGACCTCAAGCAGCCAGTCATGCATTGCCGTGGTGCCATTAGTGAGCAACGCCTTGGTGTCTATGGTGTCTCCAGCAAGTCGGATTTTGGTGAGTAAGCCCGTCTTGTTGATGGTAATTGGTACAGTATATAAGTGTATAGTAAGCACAATGTCACGCAAAACAACGGCGAACCTTGGGCAACGTCACATCATTTGCAGGTCTCATTCAGGCCATAACACCAGCAACCTGAAAACCAGAGAAACACACACACACACACACGCACATAAACACATACACGAGCAATCACATGCAACTCGCAAGCCAAACGCAATGAAGGCTCAAGCAACTCCAGCAGCATAAAAGAACAGAGGTACGGACGAGTCAACGACACACAACAAATAGACACGCGCACACACACACACACACTCATTCAGAAAGAACTTCACACTACCAACAAGCCAAGGCAAGCCACAGCAACACAGCCCGATAAAACCAGGCCAAGAACCAGGCTTGTGTCAGAGATTCGCCCTAATTTTGAGCGTTATTTGCAGCTGGTGTCCAGAGCTATTGCTGTTCTTCCGCTCTCTGGCCGGAAGACAAGCAAGCAGCTTCCTGTAAGTCTGCTCCCACTTGGTGCAGTTTGCCTGTAAACAAACACTCAAACAAAAGTACAGAATTGTTTGCTTCAAGCAGGGGAGTCTTCGAGCTCAAGGATGTTGGGAAGTAAAACGAAAAGCATACTCCCCCACAAGAAACACAAAGAACGACGATGCCCACATCTTCACATCCAGGCTAGTCGCAATGTCCACCCGTATCTGGAAGTCCTTGATCCCAGAAAAGTTCATTTGGACTCGCCTCAGACATGTCAAGCAGCAATTTCTAATCTGCCAGAATACAAGCCATGAATCCATGAAGAATCACATTCTGAGGCCAGCTGAGCGCTTCACCCTTGTGCCATTACTCTTGGATTCTTCATGTAATTCCTCGGGTGCATCTTTGTTCCTGTGAATTCTGCCTGGGGCCCTCAGCAAGTGGCATGAGGGGTGCTTCCAGCCACAGGACGTTGTCCACACGGTCCATAGCCTTGCGGCCGAACCCCGAGCAGAGCTGACCGCGGCGAGACACTTGCATATCATTGGGAAAACCAATAGCGCTCTGTGGTTCTCCGGCACATCCCACACAGATTTGGTCGACATTCCTTGCTGTCCTCTCGAACTCAATTTTCCGCCTTGCAATGCATACCTATCAAGGCGCGAGGTGTGTAGGTTTATGCGTTTACACAGAACTATACGCCTGACAAGATACTTTGCCTGTGCGTTTGCTTTGCCTCTAAGCCCAAGTTCTTCTGTCAAAAGCATGCAGCTAGCCAGAAGGTTACTTACCAACAAACGGAAGGTTAGTTGCAATGAACAGAGGTTAATGTGCACACTGGCGAGCATGCGGCCTGACGATCTGGCAGCACCGGCAGACAAATGAAGGCACATGCTAAAGGAGATCCAGCCAGGCATGAGAACCAGCCATCTGTGCGGGTGTTCCAAAGGTCGCTTTGAGAGGAAAATGTCCTTCCACCTCTAGTCAGCGTCCATGGTAGTAGGTAGTAGGGTAAGAATCACAGCCTGCTTGTTCTGGATCTCCTCCAGACCGCTGGCTCTGCCTTAAGCACGAGTCGCGAGCGCTCGCAAGTGAGCAAAGAAAATAAGCCCGCGGCCGTAGATGTTGAACAACGTAGGACCCAATTGGGTTTGACCACCCTGAGTCACTGAACAAAGCTCAAGCTCCAAAATGGCTGGCTGCTGTCGAGGAGCCCTCGTGAGTCTATTGTCAGGATAAATTGAATGACATTGCGCGCAGTACTTCTTGAAGTACCTCAGCCAGTATCGCAATCAAGCTGAGCTGAAATTCCTCAGGTCACTTCTCTCCCTTCTTCACGCTCCCAGCGGGAAGCTCAAAGCCATCCGGCACATCGTCAAACGCCTTCCGGCGGCATTTTGTCACTCTGAAGATCCTACAGATATTCAGCCGCGGACGGCAATGCTAACGGCTCCGCCAAACATGGCTCCGGCATGATCCTCGCGCGCCAGCCGTCAGCGCATCAAAAATGAGACAAAGCCTGATTTTGAGCGATGGGAAGCGCTTTTGACTTGGGATGCTTCACTTTTGCGCAATTAACATTCGGAGCTGCCACTGAGATCCCGAAGCGAATATGTTAGCCCTGATGGTTTGATGGAATTATGAGCCTGCCCCAGACATTTATCCTGCCCTGGTCAGCTGGCCCAGTCTCGCCCACTCAACAAGGACGTCACGGACCTGACAGGCCCTGGGCAAATCCGGACAAGTTACAAGACATGGGAGTGCCTTAAATAGGGGTGCTACCTAAAAGGTTGGTTTCCCTTGGTTTCACTTAACAAAAAACACCATGTGCGCTCTGGGGCCGAGGCCAACCCAAAGCGTTTGCCGATCCCCAATCCACTGCACGTCCTCGCATGCAACGCTAGACCTTGAGCCGCTCCATCGGGGAAACCTGTCGGCCAGGTCCGGAATGCCAGATCGAAAGTCTGAGCTCCCAAAACCTGTTGACTTTTGGTTGGTTCTACATGTTCTACCAAGATGGTTATCACGGTTTATGACACCAGGTGGTAGAACCACCTACTAAAATGGCCAATGGGGGTGTTGGGCGCTCATCTGGATGCGTCTCACAACTGACTCCGGGGTGAAAATAGATGGCACGATTCCCTTTATGTCCGTAAAAGACTGAACAGAAACTAAATGTGTGGAGCTAGTACCAGCTAGTTTTACTCAACTCTGCGGACCCCTTGAGGATGCAAAACATCTGAGAGGTCGGCCAAGAGTGAAGAAGACTCGCCATGGGCAACGGGAACTGGTCTTAGCACTGGATTCAAGACACGCTCTAAAACATAAAGACGGGAAACGTTTGAGCCAATGGAAGCAGGTGCGCAAAACAGCAACTCCATAATTGTTGCTCAAGCATCGTGATGACCTTTGCGAGATGTTGCAACACCCAACTTGTGTAAAATGTGCAACGCTGTGCAAAACGACTCTGAAATGTGAGCATGAGGGGACAATTGTGCGCTCTCTCTCTCTTATCATCTGTCCTGTTTCTACTTCACTCTGAGAGGGCAATGAACGCTGTACTTTACACGGGGCAGTGGCCTACAACATATCGCTTGAACACTGGGCAAATGATTGGCCTTTAGCCAAGAGTGGCGTCCGCCTGGCAGTGCAGCTATGTACAGCAAGCATCTGGGCAAATGATAATCCACCAACCTTCAACCCCTATGCCCTATGAAAGACACCTTCATGGGTGACGTCGCTGCCTAGTGACGTTGCAATTTCCCCAGAAGCATCCCAAGGCAGCTTTTGTTCATGTGAGATCATGCGGTGTCACGAAGAAATGCCGCGAGATCTGCCGCACCTTGAAGCTCTTTCACTCCTCAGCTATGGGCAGCTTTGGTGGCGCTAGACTTATCCGAGAGCACGTGGGGAAAAAGGCAAACCCGGGAGCCATGTTTTGAGGGCACCCCTTTTGCGGCTGGCTTCAAATGGACATATTCCGTACCCCCTTCCTTCCTGAGTGGGCGCCAAACTTGTTTGCCACTAAAATGGTCCAGACCCACAAAGTGACGACACTGGATTTCCTCTTTAAGTATCACCCAAAGGAAGCTCACTTTAAACTGGCCCAAATAGTGATGTTTAAACCAACCCAATGGGGAAATATTGGTTTGTCTCAAACTATGGGATTCCCAAAAGTCGGTGGTTTCCTTTTGTTTCGCTTTGAAGCCACCTCAAAATGGGTACCGAGCCTCAAACAGACACCCTGATTGTCTTACGTGATATGGATGTGTTTGTGTTTTTTCATGGTAACCTGTTCAGCTTGGTTTAAAAGGAAACCAAAGGGAAGACCTGCCATTATTTGGAGGTTCAACTCTCTATTTTGAGACAAACCCGGAGTCGGACCATTCGGAGTCTCAGTGTCTCGGCAGCCTGGAGCGACCATCCGCCCAGTGGCTGTGGCTCACATAGCCCCAGTTGGCCAGGCAAAGCTTGGCCTGACACACCGCTGCGTATGCATCCAACTCAGAGGTCATTCAAATGGTCAGGTCCCTGTCTGAGATTTAGGTCTGTTTCTCTTTGAGATACAGTACATGTCTGCTTCTGAATGTCTCATATTCCAATGGTGACCCTTGTTGACCTTTGTCAAGTTCCTTTAGGGGTTGATTCCCCATGTTAAACTATCCTCCTGCTGCTCCAGAAGGCGAACCTTCTCCTGGGTATGGGGCGGGCTTCCCCGGATTATTGAGTTCAGAAAGAATGGAAATGAATGGAAGTTTCTGCTCGAATGCCAGGTGACAGGGGTCCCTATGTTTCCCCTTCAAACATCCCAACAAAAATGGCCTCAAAAGGTGATGTATATATGTATGTATATATATATGTGTATGTGTATACGTATATACACATATGTAGCTGTGGCTCAAAAAAAGGCTACCAAAATGGCACCTTGGTAAATGGAACCAAAGACTAAAACCTGCGTACCCGTGGCTCTTTAATTTTGAGCCAAAACCATATAGGGGTGAACTAAAGGTGATGTTCAAAGCCACCGAGGGGAAAATACAGTGTCTCACATATGGGAACCTAGCAAAAGTTGGTGGTTTCCTTTTGGCTTCTTTGAAACCACCTCGAAACGGGGAAATATAGAGAACCTGTGAAGCGTCCATCGCTCTGTCGCGCGCGGGTCTGGGCGTCCACGCGGCGCCCAGCTGTAACTTTGCAGCGCAGGCCCGCAGGAAGGCCACAGAGTCATCGACCACCACCAGGCCTTCCTGACTCGGATTCTGGCAAATCTGGCACCTAAACTCCCGCCCTGAGGGCATACAAACATGGAAAGTCCCAAAATCTGGCCAATCAGTCAAAAGGCTGGTCCCTCCCTTAAGGGGTGCCTGAAAGGACACATCCCAAAGATCCTCCAAAACAGCGCCTTTAGGGTACCCTATTGGGCGGGTTTGCAATTGCACGTGCATACCTTTGGTAGGACACGTGGATGTGCCTCAAATTGAGAGAACCCCCCACCCCACCCGCCCCACCCCACTAAAAAAGTGTTTGTTTCCCGCATGGTAGCACGACTCGCAGCGGATTTGCGAGGCTGCGAGCGAAACACGTGAACAGCACCACCAATTAAGTCAGTGCGCTCCACAACCCGCGCCGGTCTCCTTCGCCAAAGACTGGACGGCGGCAACCTTCTCCTCAACACTTCCCAGCGCACAGTGCATTCGCCACCCATCCTTCCTCGCCCATGAACCCTGATGGTCCGGTGCGAGTTCAAGCTCGGAGGCTATTTGGGTGGAAGCTTGCAGAGCTTGCACAGCTGAGAGTTGATCGCGGCTTGTGACCACATCTACACTTTCCTCAATGGCACCTTCTGCCACCGCCAGGTACACCAGCTCCAAGACTTCTTTAAACAAATGATCCTCTGAAAGGCCTCTGTGACATCGGCGAGCTTCCGCCATGGCTTCTTGCCTGGGTTGCTCTAAGACCCCCCAAGCAAAAGGTCTAACCATTTAAACTTTTGGGGCTTTAATGGAAGATGTGTTGCTTCCACAAAGGTCTAAGTAAGGGCCCTTTGGGTCGCACCGTCAGAGACCAGCCATGTTGCAAGTGGCCAATATTTGGCCCCCAGCGCGCCAGCAGCAAATCCCTCAGACCACCGCTCTCCAGCCAATTGGACTCGATCTCCCCCACGGTGAGCGGCCGCGCGCCTCTTCTCCCTTTGGCCCTGTTGGCGCGACAGGCCACCGCCTCCTCCACGCAAAGTCGAGCGAATAAAACCAGCTCCCACTCGGCTTGGCACGCCGGACGCAGCTGCTCCACCTTGTACAGCAGCCAAGGCGGTGCCGGAGTAAATGCGGAGGACCTATGCTCCAGAAGCCTTTCCCAATCATACTCCACCCAGCTTTGCCGCACGCCAGCCTCGTTGAGGCTCACCTCTTTGGCATCTTTCATGACGGATGGCCAAATCGCGTAGGCCGCTTTGCATGCAGCGCTGCTGGCCTCTTCTGCGCTGGCGCAAAGCACGCCATCCAGACCCAGCACCAAACGTGGGCGCTGCCCTCCAGCTTTGGCAAATCGAGCCACCCGCTTTGACCTACCTGGCACGGCATGGCTGGGGCTTTTGGCCTCGACTCTCGAACATTTGTCCAAATGACGGAAGCTGAGGGGTTGGAAGGCTCTTGAAAAGCCGGCAGTTCTCGAATTCCATGATTGTTGGAAAAAGGGTAGCGTCATGCAAATTCACCAGAGTCTCGGCATTGCCCGGGCCTCTTGAAGCCACCGCCAAGAAACACATTGCCTGACGGAGGTGGCTGAAACAAGTGGCGTTCTGAGCCCCGCCAAAAGCATGCCACCACAAGGTCACAGATTGGCAGATGTTCCTGCTTGCGGAAACAGAACACATCCACATCGACATGGGGAATTTTGTGTCAAAAAAAGGCCGGCTAGCATGGGTTTGGTCCTCTTGATGTCCCTTAAACCAAGCTGAAGTGGGCTCAAACACCTCGCACACACACACACACAGGTAACTGCTGTACATCAAAAAGCCCGGCACCTGCGGGTGGGCGCGCAGCTTTCGGGGTGGAGCTGATGCTACCTCGGAAGCTGGCAAGCGCTTTTCCATGGGCGCTCAGTTGGGTGTGGATTTGAACAGGGAACTTTGGGTGACATCAGAATTCGGTTGGGAGTCTTTGTGAGGCTCCGAAACCAAGTTCATAGCCGCGTAAGTTAAAGCGCTGCAAAAGGGATTCCGACCAATTCCAGCCACAAGTGGCCTGCCCCGCTGCGCGAAGCCACGGAAGCCGCGGAAGCCGCGGAAGCGAAGCCACCGAGGTGCAAGTCCATGGCGCACCGCGGCACAACATGCCGCAAGAGAAATTCGCTTATCTCAAAATAGGAGAACCCCACCAAAGGAAAGGTGTCCTTTTAGTTTCCTGGAAAATAAACGAAAGCGTACCCTCAAAAAGAGACACACCCAAATCCCATGAAATGGTTGGCTTCCATTAGCTGTCTCTTTGGTTTCCTTATGGGGGTTTTCCTGGTACACCCCGCTAAACCAAACGAAAAAGGGCCTCCAGTTTCTGGGACTCGCCAGAGCCTTGGCTCCGCATCTGTCCAATGGACCATGATCAAATATTGCGGAACCGCGAGGGTCACAAACCTCGGGACTCACACTCGGCTCTCGGATGACAGTCTCTTCCTCGTTGCCAAATGAGTCTGTGTTAACATAGCGGAACCCAAAAAGTTGTGGTTTTCCCTTTAGTTTCCTTTTGATTTCCATGCAAACACAACCCCAAATGACAACTGGAGCATTTGGAACTGGCATGGAAGCCCTTGTGGCACCCGGCACACATGGCATCATTGCCATCAGCATGAGGCATGTTGGTGTGTGTGTGTGTGGGCACATGCTGTTGCTTGAGCCAGAACGTACATCTTTATCCACCATTCGTGCCCCTTGAAGACGCAACCATCTCTCTTGTCATGTACTTACCGCCCAGGTCGCAGCTTTTCACTCAAACTTGCCTCGGCAAAAAACTGCCACACTCGCAGCAGTGTTGATTGCAGTAGAAACATAAGCCACCCATTCATGTTTATTTGTGTCAGGGTTGCACCACGCCAACTCCTGCTTTGCAATACTCTACTGGAGTAGAATGCTGGGTGATACAAATGAACGCAATCGCAAGGGGGTGTCACTGGAGGTTCTGCAAGCATTGATGCGCAGTGACAATTGACCAACTCGGATGTCCCATCTCGCGTTGCTTGCCATGCCATGCTTTGCATGGTGGAATCATAAAACCTGGAGATTGTGAAACACGTCTCCAGTCGGACGCCTTGTCTGCCCGTGTTGTCTGGGAACTTTGCCTTTTGGCATTCCGTGCTCTGCATTCGCTTGCTATAAGCAAGCATCAATTTCAGGAGTCGGCAGCATCCACCCAAAGAACAAGTCACTGTTCTCAACGAATACTCACAATATTCATCAAGAACTCCAGTGGCATGACATATCTTGCCCGTGCTGCTGACTTCTTCGCGCATGAAAACCTGGAAAACGGTCTTCACAGCTGTGGAATAGCTGTCTCAGGTTTTCACCACCCCGGTCTCTCCAGAAGCCTGGAGAGAAAAGCGGAGACTTTGCAAGCAACTTGTAGGCTGACATTGAAATCAGGTGTTTGTCAAATAGTAACCCCATTTAAGTGGTTTTCCTTTTGGTTTCCCCCAGTCCAAAAGGGGATTTTGACAAACACCCGTTGCACCAAACTCACACCAACTGCACCAAAACGGTCACGGCCATCCGTCCTTGCTGACAGCATCCTTCAAGGCCGCTGGAAAATATGCCAGACATGATGCAGCTTGATATTCAAATATGCATACGTGTTCTATACATATATATATATGTATATATATATATATGTATATGTATATATATATATTGTAGAATGCGCACCATGTTGCAATCTGTGTGCTCTTGTGTGTGTGTGTGGTGTGATCCGAAAGGTGTTAATTTACAAACCTGCACCATGTAAACAACTTGGGCCGAACTGATATTTGCAGAATGTGTACAGACACAATACTGAACAACACATTTGGCATGTCCTTGTCCGGCTGATTCCTCCAAAGCTTCCTGGCGAGCAAACCAGTCTTGCACGTGAATCCGGAGAACTGTATTATACAGGCCTTTTCGCTGCCGTCAGAGGGTACGGATTGAAGAAAGCGATGGCCTGGTAAACGGCCTGGCTCGTGATTTCCGCAAAACTATCCTCTGCAGTTGCCGGCGAGCTTCACACTCTACGAATTCCAAAGCGGTCTCAATTGAGAACAAAGTTTTGATCGGAACCAAGTTTCAGATTTTAGATTGCACAGCCGTTGGTCTTCAAATATGCTTCGGCATACGGGGTTGTCAAATGCAGTGCTTTTTGGCACCACGCACTCAGGTCCAAAAAGGACCTATCTTCTTGACAACCCCGCATACATCTGTAACACCTATTGCGGCTCTCTGGTGCTAAGTGGTAGGCCAGGTCCAGAAAGAGGAGCAGTGGAGTCAACAACTGGGCGCAATCCACCGAAAATCAGCCCAGCATTCCGCGAACGGCTTAGGACCCCTTCCTGTTCTCTTCAACCTGTTTCTTGGGGCCCAGAAACCAAAAAGGTACAAAGTTCAAACAGTCAAACAGAACCCAACGGTTCGACGGTTGAGGTCATGGCCATAGGAGCTAAGTATTCCCCTTTGCTGAAGATCTCCACAAAGGCGCCTCGCGGCATGCGTCCCCAAAAGGGGCCCCTGCCAGTGCCATCAAACCACAAAATCTCGAAAATAGGGACGATTAGGGACGCCCCAAAAGGACTGCTGCTTCTTTTGGTGTTTTGGAAAAACATGGACCCGGATAGCATGGGAGATTGCACCAGCACCCTGACCAGCGCCCTGACTGCATCGGCCTTGGGCACACCAAACCGCACCTTGAACAGCACCCAAAAGCAACAGCACACAAAAAGCACCCTGACAGACACCCTGACTCCATCGCCAAACAAGCACCGCCAGCAACCACCGCGGACAAACTGCACCCACACTGCCACCATCCCACCGCCTTGCGCGCACCAAGCAGCATCCTGACCAGCACCAAGAACAGCACCCTGACTGCATGGCCACACAAGCACCACCAGCAACCACCAGCATGCAGGCTGCCTCGCAAAACAGACGCTGCCAGCAACCACCAGCACCTTGACTGCACCCCAAACAGCACCCTGACCAGCACCTGCAGCCCAACCTGGCCCCAACTCGCAAAACAGCCTATTGGAAGTAAGAACCTTGTAGGTTTCAGCTATCTGGGGAAAAAAACGTGGCACAGCATTTCGCGACAGGTGATTCTCCCAGTGCGAACCAAGGCCGGTTCTTCAAAGCGTGCGCCCAAAGCAAAGCTGGTCCCTGAAAGCAGGGCCTTGCCTTCGATCTGCGGCTGCATAAGGTCTCCAAGACCCGTCTCAGCCAACACCGCCAACCTGACATCGCAAAGAAGCTGCCCAACTGCGATCAAACGGACATCATGTGGAAGTGTCCTTCATAGCTACTGTCACCCCCAAAAAAAGTGAATGTGAGCCCCTTCACAAAGTATCAACAAATTATGTTGTCTTGCACTGGCGCTAGGCTCCAATAGAGCCAGGCTGACGTGACAAACATTGCAATGAAGGAAATGACCATGACCTGATCAAGACGTCGTGGTTCAGCGTGCACCTTCACAGCCTGCACACTTGTTTACTCAATTCACTGGGGCTGCTGCCGCGATGGTCTCTTTGGAGAAAGGACTCTCGGCGACGATCCACAAGCGTCCGTTCACGAAGACCTGTCAAACAGTGGGCGCAATGTTTGTTCCATCGTAATTTGAGCTGGTCGGACCACGCAGAGGATGAAGGACACGCAGGAGGCATACCAGAACTCAGGAGCCTGTGCAGGCAAACATCTCGAGTCAGTGACACGTAAGTGATTCCCAGCATTGTACCCTCCTATTTGTGGATGCTCCTAAAGGAAAACAAGTTGTGAAGCAACTATTCGCCAGGAGGGCATTTTCCTCTAGACCGTCACCTTGAAAACTGCTGCGCCTGTGTGTCGGTGCTGCCCGCCGTGAGGCTTGGTATCAGCCAGGATACGCCGCCGTGGTACAAGGCACTGGCGGGGAAAAAGGATATGTACAAAATGGACCATCAAAACACTGCCAGACAACCCTTGTGGTGGTAGACAAAATCCAATTCAAAGGTGACCATCCCTAGCCCGAATGGGCATCCAGAAAATGCAAATGCACGTGGCATTGATCGTTCCTGAACATCCATGCCGCCAGGATCGGCGCATTGAAGCGCATCCGCCTCTAGACAACACTGCGCACTCCCGTCGTTGATTCATCTGGGAGTGAAAAAACAAGATCTGAGGAGACGACCGAAGCCCCTCGACGTAAAGATCTGGAGATGCTATGGACACCTGCATAAACATCATTAAAGTAACATCCGGAAAATGACCCGAGCTAAATTTTGGGGGGGAAGCTGCCAAAAGTAATTTTGAGACCGTTGAAATGCAATCACTTTCATGGAGCCAGTACAGTAAAATTCAACAAATTTCGGCATTGTTGCTCAGGCCTCATCGGGCACATCCCGGTCGAGACTCACCACGATCACGACAGGCAGGCCACAAATAATGGCCCCAAACCTTGCAACGGGCCCCATTTTGAAGGGAATTCTTCATGTTTGGGGGGAACACCCGTCTTCATCTGCCAGCTCAATCCAGAGTCGACATTCACAAATCAAGCACTGAGCTCTCTCACGCGGAGTTCAGCCACTCCGGGTAGGCAATTTTGGCTTGAAACCTGCAAGCAACGTGCAAACAAACGAGTCCTGGGGAAAAAAACCATGGCCCCCGTGAAAGGATTCGCAGAAGCTTCCTACCGGGTTCTGCGAAAAAACTCCTTCCGAAGCCAGTTTGACAACAAACGCCAACCTCCTCGCCCCCAAGTTGGACGCGCCCCTTGTTAACGACAAATGTCACAGCGCTCCTTGACAACATTGCTGGGGGTCAAGGGGGGTGCATGAAAAGATACTTGGGCGAGAGCCAATGGGCGTCTTATTTTCGCAGAACCCGGTAGGTCTTAGAAGGGTTCACCTTGTGGTGGGTAGGAGGTGCCTAATGTCTCTCCTTGTGTCCGCTCTGGTCAAACTAAGGCCGCTACGTGATTTGGTGAGCAAAAAATATGTCGCCAACTGCCAGCACGGTGTGCTTGTAGAACATGTAGCAAATGAAAGTAGCCACTCGGCGATATGCACGTCTTCCTTAGTCTTGGAGTGTTGCCACTACCCCCAGCCCGCCACAAAAGGAAAGGTATAATTAGTCAATATGTCAAGAGTATATAACATACCCTTTCTCCTTGGTTAAGGGATATCTTCTTGGACTTAGGCAGTTCGCATGCAATGTGCATTGCACACTCCTCGAGCGCCAGTCGAGTCTTTGAGTCTTTACATGAGGCGCCAGCCGTGGCAAAAAAGGAGCGGCACGAGGAAGCGGAATTGAGAGATCGCAACATCACTAGCCTGGATGGGTTGGCAGTGCCCCAACTCGTGCTGACTGCGATGCATGCAAACTGTGCCTGTCACATCGCAAAACTGCGCTTGACACTTGAGCCTGCACTGCTTGGTTCCCCTCTTTGCCGCGGATGCCTGCCGACGTGCTTGGCTATCATAGATGGTTCTTTGTCTCTGCAACATACAGTATTCTAACAATTTAGGTTCCAGCTTGCACCAAGGGACAATTCCTGTGTGTAGCATCCTAGAACCCATTTGTTGGAACTCATGTAGTGTCCTGAGAATGACCCTCTGGCGTGCGCGCAGGCGCGGCCTATGCCAACGTGGGCTCCCTGGATCATGGGGACATCATTGGCGCCATCACCGACAGCCAGTGTGATGCCGCTCCTCGCGCGTCAACGCAGATTTACTGTGGCATCTACGTGCGGCATCAATGTGGCATCAAACGTGAGCGAAGCCCAGATGCAGATCACCGTCTTGCAGACTGGAGCTGGTCCCCTTTACCTCAAACCTGGTTGGAGCGACTGCCCCAACACAAAGCGGTGATCTGTTTTCTCCAAGTTAACCGTTATTGACATTGATTCGGTGTGTTCTATGCCCGAGTTGCAAGCTGTCAAGTAAGCAGTGTCTGATGAATTGGTTTCGTGGCGCGGTATTTTCTAGGTGTTCAGCTTTGATTGGCGTCAGTCTTGCGCCATGTTCAAAGTCCAGCTGGAACGCCGGACATATTATACAGTGAATATGTATAATATATGTATCATGCCTATATGTGTTCTCTGTGCGTGTGACAGCCTTTGTAGAGTGGCAGTTCAACCCTTGCGAATTTCGCGATTTGGGGCATTCTCCCACGGTGCTCTTTTGCTGCCTGCCCGCTGAAGTTTGCAGTACTGTGAACGCCAGAACCAGGCATGAGAAGAAAAGTGTCAATTGATGCTTCAGCAACACAGTCTCTCCAGCTCAAGCACAACTGGCTTCTCCTATTCATGTTCTTCACGAGCTCAACCTCACAAGACAAATGAGTGAACAACATGGATTTGCACGCTCCCAACTTGTCCGAAAGCTCCCCCCAAACTGGGCAATGAACCAGTCGGCGCTTCTGCTGTGGAGACAGCCGGCAGCAAACCTAAGACGGCACAGCATCAAGGCTCCGTTGCCCATCCAAGGTTGGTTGTCAATGCCAAGACAAGGAGCTGCAGCTTTTGGACATTGACGATCATTGTTTCAGAATCGAAAATCGGGAATGAAGGTTGCGAGCCGTGATGATAAGCTTCTGAATCGTGAATACTGAATCTACTGTGGTCAAGCTGATGCATCATACAGTGCAGCAAACAGCTAGGCGCTGGCCTCTTGTTCAAGAATGTTAAGCAAATTTACCGCGAGGGCGCAAGCTTGGGTTTGGTGACGGCAAGCTCACCTTTGCGGCACCAAGAGCTAGACATTAGGGTCCGCGCTTAAGCAATTGGACAAACAGCATATTCTTATGCGACATTGTTGGACTGGCCGCTGAACGAAGAACGCCGAGCCAATGCAATAGCTGCAGCAATTGCGGCAGGTAGCTCCAAGAAAGCTGTAGCAAAAAAAGCTAACATGACGCAGCGTTAAACACTGCCAGCTATGAGTGGGCTCAACCTCAGGTGCGGCGTATTCAACATTGCAGTGGCAACATCAACTATGGGATAAAGAAGCTTTGAAGGCAAGATCGGCACGAAGACACTTTTGGATGAAATTCGACAGCTGGTTCCAAGGCCACTGGTAGAATGTGTTTGCTCCCAACCGGCACCCGTGTCTCCACAATTGCCATAGATAGCACCAAAATTACGATCAAAGGCAGCATGAAAGAGTACCAACTCCAAAAAACACTTTGTCTTTTTTTGACTTAGAGGGAAACGATTAGAGCTGTGCCGCACTTTCAGGTCTCCCCGCGCAGGACTGGCTTGCCATGGCCAGCTGGTACCTGGAAGCCAGTGTCAAATGATGCCTTCCCCCTCGTTCTGCCGCACATGCGTATGATCTTTGAATGGAGACCCTTTGGTGGACATCATTTGGGTGGGGATTTATGTCCACCAAAATCTCTTGCGGTGGTCATTAAAAACCATGGCCACATTAAACCACTGCATCGCCTCAGGGAAACAACAATGTCACCAGATTAATCAACCTGA